GATTGAAATAAGCTTGAATTTTGACTGTATGACTAGTTCAGTGGACCATGATCTGTCTTGTGTCAATTGATTTGATTATTTATATCACTTAATCGATTTTTTTTAAATTATATTTTAATTAAACTAATTTTTTTTATGTGTGTAGATAAACATGGAAAAAAAATATTAAAGTATAGAATAATTCTATATAATACAAATTTTAATGTTTTTAAAGTACCAAAGTAAGTTAACCTTGACCGCTTAAGCAATGTATGATTTTGCTTAAGCGGTCATGTATATTTTGGCTTGTTTGCTTAAGCGGTCACTAAAAGATCTTGTCAATGGCAAAATAAAGATCATCCGAATATACTAGATTGCTTAAGCGATTTTAGGTATTGCTTAAGCAATCTACTATATTTAGCCTTAGTCACTTAAGCGATCACTTACAAGGTAGAATCAAGATCACTTAAGCGATTTTTCACTTTTATCCTTGGTCACTTAAGCGATCAAGTGCAAGGCAAAATCAAGTCACCCCAAGTGTACGATTGCTTAAGTGATTTAACGTCTCGCTTAAGTGATTCTTCACTTTTACCCTTGATCGATAAGTCTAAGGCAGAATTGAGACCACTTAAGCAATTCTTTGCTTTTATGATCGCTTAAGCGACCAAGGCCATTTTGCTTCTTATCCCCTCGATCTTTTAATATTGTGCACGTTTGAGTGAGAAATTATATTCCATATTGTGGGCCAGCTCTATATTCAATCATAACCATCCATATTTGTGAAATGAGGTACATTTCTACTAACGTGTCACACTCGTGACTAATTCAGTAAATTGATTGATTAATTGACTTGACACGACAATTATGTTGATAATACTTATTTTGCCTATCTTACTTCTTTGGGCCGCAATCAGTGTCGTAAGAGGTAATATGAGAAATTTTATTTACTTAAACCCTTTTTAAAATGGATGAAAATGAAAATAATTAATTTGATTTAATATGATATAAATGATGATTTATTCAAGGCAACAATTAAATTTAAAACATAAAAAATTGAAAATAACAAGTCTTTAATGATTGGCCTTGGCAGCTCTCTCTATTTCATCCTTCTTCTTGATAACATAGCTGAAAATACATGGACATAAAATCAATTTAATGCACCACAAAAGAGAAATATAATAACTTCATCAAATTGTTTAAACAATCTTCGGTCACTTAAGCAATTTGTTGGTTAGATCTGCATATAAGAGAAGATCGCTTAAGCGATCTGGTGTTCACCAAATCTGATCTGAGTAGCAATTCGCTTAAGCTACTAAGGATTGCTTAAGTGATCTGGTGTTAACCAGATGTTTAAGCGATCTTAGGTCGCTTAAGCGATTTGCTGCTCAAGGCTACAGATAAGAGCAGATCACTTAAGCGACCAAGGATCTCTTAAGCGATCTGCTTTTATCAGAAGATCTGAACATCAGATCACTTAAGCAACCTAAGATCATTTAAATGATCTGCAGATAATAGCTGATTGCTTAAGCGATCTTGTGTTGCTTAAGCGATTTGATCTTATCTACAGATCTTATGGCATGTTGCTTGCTTTCTTACTTCTGATCGATTCGAACCTAATTTTCTGGATCTGCATGTGATCGATTCTAGCAACTGCTTCTCTTATGGTCAGGTTGCTTGCAAATTGAGCACTTATTCATCGTCCGGGGAACTTCACAGGCTAATGGAATACGTTTAACTCTTTTTCTCCCCTTTTATGTCTTCTTGAATGGTGATAAATGATAATGTCAACCAACTCTGGCAGCACCACTCACTGCTCTTTTGCAAGAACTGGATATATCATTTTCGAATAAGCCAACATGTAATGGTTTGCCATATAGAGAGGGGAGCAAAGTTCTATGTAAATTCTTGAACCAAAATCTGGCTTTCGTTGGTGTTTTAGTGCTACTAGTGCATGAGGACAAGGTAAACGTTGAATGTGAAGCACTTTATAACTGCAAGTTTTACTAACAAGGTTAACCAGGGCATCCAGACCATAGTCGCGCATGGTGAACTCTTGAGCATTGAGAGGATAGACAAACAATGCATTTGATAGTTCCATATGTTCTCGCAATAATTTTTCAACTGACAGAAAAGAGTTGTGGTAAAATTATCTGACTCCGTACAACTCTCATGGAACCACTGTGACAATGTCCTCTTGATTGCATCAAAAAGAGCAACAATTGGAAACTCACTTTCTATTAACAACTTCGAATTTAAGGACTCAGCTATGTTTGTGATCATGACATCGAACCTTCTTCCAGGGAAGTAAGCTCTACTTTATCGCTCAAAACTAGCATCATGCTCAAGATACTTAGCAATTCTATCATCCTTGATTCGGATTTGTCGAAAGTGCTCCTCAAACTCATCAACTCAATAAGCTTTTGCTACCATGTAATATGTCTGAAAGAGGCTAGCACACTTAAGCTTTTGTTTTATGTTCTAGCCAAGGTGCCTTATACAGTGATGTACTTGAGGGTAAATAGTGGCAATCCCCTTCTTTATAGAGTTGTGCCTATTGGATATTATGCATAACTCGTCACTGTCAAGCACTATCGTAAGTGATTGCTGAAAAAACCCAAGTCCACGACTTCTTGTTCTCAAAATCAACCACACACCATGCAATGGGATATGTGTGATTCTTGTTGTCCTGTGAGTGGCCACCAACAATGTACCTCCATACTTTCCTATAAAAAAGCAACAATCAACAGCCAACGCCTTTCTCATGTTTACAAAACCCCTTATAGTAGCACCGTAAGCAACCAAAAAATATTTAAACCCCATATTCTTGTCACACTTCAAAGCCGTCTTGCTACCTTAGTTTGTTAACTCAAGCATATAACAATAAGCTTCTAATACTATGTACTCGTGCTCTGGTGTGCCCCTCAAAAAATCTTGTGCATGTTGTCTCCCTTTCCAGCATTTCCAATAACTAACATCGCTTCCCAACTCTGTGCGCACAATTCTCTGAATGTCCTTAGGAGATAGACTTTTCCCTTTAACAAACTGACTTTTGACAAATTGTCCAATAACATCAGCAAAGGTTTGTCGATGCTCACTTGAAATATGTCCCAACCCACATGTGTGCTCACAAGTATATGTGCTAACAATAAATTTTTCGGACTCTGTCAACCTTCTACAATAAACCCGCTACTTGCACTTTCGGTCATGACATGCAACTATCACTATCGATGAATTAGACTTTTTGGTGATGAACTCAAAATTACCTCTCACGGCAACAAGTTTTAGCTTTCTTACCATTTCCTCCTTGCTGTCAAATAAATAACCTACACACAAGTCTAATCCATCAGTAAAAACGTGAGGTGATTCACTACTACCCGTAATTGTCACCTCTGAACCTATATAAACGACCATAGTGTTCTCTTCCTCACAAACTACACTTTCTGCATAATCTGTATTTATAGGAATCTCTACATCTGCAGGAACATGTATGAGGTCCTCCTCATCCACATTTTCATTCTGTCCCACATGACCAACCTCTTCTACAGTATCATCTTCACCACTCAAATCACCGCCTAATCTTGATTATTCAACAAAGAAATCAATGCCCTTTTAGTTAAAATTAAAACCAGCATTCTCCCCACCCAAATCATCACTTATTCTTGAACCAACTTCCAAAGCTTTATCCATAGCTGAAACCGTTAAAATCGGCCTCGAACCGTTATCGCCCACATCAAGCATAAGTAACTTCACATCTTCATCAGACATTAATACAATAGGGGGTGCCTTAAAATTTGCAAGAGCTCTGCCTAAAACATACTTCACAACTATATCACTACGTGAGCAACTAAACCCACCTTTTCTAATGATTTCATCAATCAGCTCATCAAAACTAACTTCTGTACTCACAATAATTGCTTTAACTTATTTGCTCTTCCTAATCCACTTCCAACAACTTTCTTCCTCCACATACTCTCCAAAATATTCAACATCTAAAACCACTTGTACCATGTCTAATAATAGTCAAGTACCTATAATGCAAGAAGACAAAAATTATTAACCGATATATTAAGGGTTGATAGATTTTAAAAAGCATCTCTAGAGTCGCTTAAGCGATGTGCATATGCGATGTGGTGTATTGCTTAAGCGATCTGGTATATCGCATACTGGATCGCTTAAGCGATCAAGTATATCGCTTAAGTGATCTAGTATAAATAAGTCTAATTGCTTAAGAGATCTTATGTCATATACCTCATCGCTTAAGTGATTTGCTGCCATATACCAGACTTATAGTAGATCGCTTAAGCGATCTTCTACCATATACATGATCGCTTAAGCGATCTACAATCTGCTGCATTAAACCAGACATACCAAATCGCTTAAGCGATCCATCAAATTCAGAACACATTTTCTGTCATCTCCACCTACAATCGGTGCTACCACCCCCAACTACCCACAATGAAAGAAAATATTCAACAAATTTCACTCTTTTTAACTTGCATTACATAAAACACAACCCAACAGCCTAAACAATTAAATCAAAATCATAACCCAAACCCAATCCATCATTAAATCTTTGTAAATCGAAATTTAAAATGCAAAGAGGAGATGCACATACCTGGATGAAATATCAAGAGGAGGAGGAGACGGATCTTTGGCGGAGAAGATGTTAGTAGCGGAGGAAGAAGAAGATGTAGAGGAATGAGGAAGAAGAAGATGTAGATGAAGCTTAGAAGTAACAACAACTAGGGGAGGTGCATTAATGGTTGGAGGAAGAAGAAGAAGGTGTTTGGGTTTGTTTGCAAGAATTTTGGCTTTTAGAGGACATATTATAATTTTCAAAAGATTACACAATACTTCATTAATCCTAATTAGCCATTGATCATGTTTAATTATCCTTAATAGTTATTTACTTAACAATTTAAAACTACCCACCCTTTTAATTAAATTTGAACTTTTAATAAAATGCCCTGCCAAAACATTGTTGTCACAGTAGATTATAATTAGTCTACGATTCACTAATTGGAGATTCCTGTTTTAGGTTATTTGGAGAGCTTGTTTTATGGGTGAAATCACTGAAATGATTTGTATATAGATTTAATGGAGATGGTGAACTCTGGCGTAACCAGGTCAAAATGGAGCTCAAAATAATGGTTTATGTAAAGTTTAATACAGATAATCAGTATTAATCGAGAGATTTAAGCTAGAAGTGCTGTGGTTCTTTTATGTCCTGTAAGCAGAGAGAAAATGGAGGTAAGGGAGAGAGAAGCATGGGAGAATGAAGAAAGAGATAAATGTGACTAATTGTAAACGCCGTCACCACGCTGCCGCAAGCAGACCGAGTTCGCATCGCCTGTTCACCCTCGCCGGCGCCTGGTAACTCTCAAAATAGTACGTTTTTCATTTCCATCATGTTGATTTCTTTCGCTTACATGAAAAATTTTATTTTGTTTTACAGTGCGTGATTATTGTTTGAAAAAATGAGAAAAAAATTCTCTTCAATTAAAATTTTTGCCTAAAAATCCCAAATTTGACATTTTTATTTTACTTTTATTTCAACAGGACCATGAGAGTTGCTAGCAGCGCTATGCCACTACTTGTATTCTCTCCAACTACTTTGGACACTGACAAAACCCTCACATTTCGAAACCAAATCAGAACCAGAAACTTAGGGTTTTTGCAGCGTTTGCAAAACTACAATGACGGAACCTGGAGTGGTAGTTCAATTGAAGGAGAAGATTGAGTTAACGGACGCCAAGAATAAGATATTTGATAGCCTTCTCAACACTCTTCACCACTTCAATCTTAAAACTGAGCTTTGTGTAGCCGTTGGCTGGGTCCGCGATACAAGGTTGAGAACTTGTTATACATTGTTTAATTTTCTTTTTATTGAAAAGTAATTTGAATTTAGTGACTTTGATTTGTTGTGCTTTACAGCTTCTGGGGATAGAATGTTATGACATTGATATTGCGCTAGACAACATGTTGGGAAGTGAATTTGCTAATAAGGTGGCTGAGTATGTATCGTCCACGGGTAAAAAGCCACCTTCAGGCTGAGGGGTTATTCCAAGGTACACCATTTGTTTTTCTTTCACTTGTGCTATTCCAACTCAAAATAAGTAGATTAATGTTTACTTGAATGAAAAAGTATAATCAAAACCGAAAACTTCGTTGAGAATTTATAAAGAATTGTTTTTAAAATCTTGATGTGATACATACAAAAATATTGATGTTTTATTGCTTGTTTAAATTCTGGAATTTTTTGCGAGGCATTGATGTAGCATCAGTGTAAACCTATTGTTAATATAGTATTTATGAGAATTCTTGGCGTATTAAGTTTATGTCCTCATTGGTGGCTAAACTTTGGTGTGCCTTTCCAATAAAAGTGTAAGATAAACCTTTTTGATATAAGGTAATATACGGAAAATTTTAAACAAGAGATAAGAAATTTATTTATTGGATTTTGCATTATTTTTTAGTGGTTCTAAGTCCTTACTGATGCTGTGATTCACAAAGTGATGTCTTCTCTTGCAAGCATCTAGTTTTTACTGGGTACCTTTCTTTTTATTGGAAACTGAAACAATGTATTAATTTTAGAGAAACCAGGTGCTAAAACAACAAGAGACTTCTCTGAAAGGGGGACAAAATGCTATCTGCAAAGTTTGCAAAAAAATCAGTTTATATTTTATTATGCACTGTGAACATAAAATTGAGATATATTCCTTCTGGCAACTCTTACAACATCAGCCCAAGACTCATTTCCAGTTAATATGAATAGAAAACAAAGTACAATCTTGAATGCCTTGAATAATCCCTGGCTTGAGCTGCCTTAACCTAAAGTGTGCCATTAGAGTGAATAAGAAAGCAGATGACAGTTCATGTAATGAATGGTGGGCATATAGTTTTAATATTGCTTTCTGTGCTTTTATATCTCAGCATGAATTCAAAAAGTCTCTTTTATCTGCTGCTTGAAGGCTAAACCTCTGTCCATGCAGATACTGTTGTCAACTACATTTTCAGGGAGTCTCTCTAGCGAAAAGGCAGTGATGCTGAAACTGTATGCTTAAATATACTTTCTTGTTGTGTCTTAACTTAGGTTTTTCTTTCCTTTCTAGGTAATGAACATTCACAAGTCATTGGAGAAATTCTTATCCTTGATTCCATTTCTCATATCCACTGAGGAGATCAAACTTGTTGAAGTTGATTGGGGTAGAGAATTGGTTGATGACTTTGTTCCTTCGAAACTCAGAGTTTTGACTGGTATGAAGTTTCTGCTGTTTTATCTAATGTTAGTGATTTTTGAGAAGGTCTTGCTTTTAGTTGCCAGTAACAATTCTTCTGGGGAAAGCCTTCTGTAATTCTGCTTAAATTTCTGAAAAATTTATATATATATAATAGAAAGCAAAAAGATATGTATTATTGAGGAACAAAATGAAAAATGTAGACAAAGCATCCACACACACACGCACACGCACACACACACACACACACACACATATATTTTTCTAATAGAAAGCAAAAAGATATGTATTATTGAGGAACAAAATGAAGAATGTAGACAAAGCATCCACAATTGCAAAGACACCGGTAACTTTTTTTTCCCATACAGCATCCCTTGACTTGATATTTGCATAATCATTGTATTTCTGTTATTCCAATCACATCATCTTGCACGGTATACCTTGAGTTACATAGATTCCTTGTGGCCGACTTCCTATTCTTATGCAGGATTTCTTCTCAGAGAAATCAAAGATTTTTGGCAAGTTGCCTTATTGGCTCTTCCTTGTTACATCCCACTGACGCTGACCATACTGATGATATTCTAAACAAGAACTTTCAACTGGACAAAAGAAGAGATCTATTTGAGGTGGTTTAGAATTCGATTACGAAACTAGGTATGGCAAATGCTCCTTTCTGTAGTCCTTACAGTTCACTGTTAATTCTTACTTGTAGTTCTTGTTTGATCCTCCAGAATATAGATTGCTAAATGCATATTATTTTATGTTGTATCTGTAACCCAAAAGTTCAAGAAATACAATTCACTGATACTTAAATGGCCACTATGTGAGTAGCCGGCTGGCTGCTTGGATAGCTGGTTTGAAAAAAAAAAATGTTTTAAATTGGTTTTAGAATATGGTTAAACTGAAGTTTGAAAATATCTGTTGAAAGATTGAAACCAATGGATGACCCTTCATCTTTAGAAATGAAACAAAATAATGTTTCATCATTCTGTAGATATAACTTTGGGATGAATACAAGCATGCAAGCATGATGCTTGATAGTAAACATGAAACAAAGTTTCAACATGTCTTGTCTTATGTTCAATTTATTTGTCGGAGTGCAGGTCTTGAGAAAGTGTGGGATGTGAAACCTTCGGTTAATGGGAAAGATATTATGAATGTTTTGCAGCTTAAATCCAGAGGGCCACTTGTTAGGGAGTGGGTAAGGCAGTCTTTATGCATCTGAGAGCCGAAAAAAAAAAAAAAAAAAATTGTTATGAAGTTTGAAATGCTAATTCATTCATCACTTTGCAGCAACAAAAACTGCTTGCATGGCAGCTTGCCCACCCCTCTGGGACTGGGGAGGGCTGCCTTGACTGGATGAAGCAAACCCACTCAAAGTGTGAAGCTGGAGCCCAGCAATTCAGTTGATTAATCTAAAGCTATAGTTAGCAATAGTTATTTTTGATGATACATTTACTTTTTGAGATATTGAGGCTGGATAACATTTTGAAGCCCATGAACATCCATGTGTTCTAGATGCCAAAGTTTATTAAATTTGCAGCGTCGGTTGGAGTCATTTTACGGCAAGGAGGTTTTATCTTCCAGTGGGAGAAAGGAGGACTGGGAAAGAGAAAGATTCAGGTTAATGTTTTGAATTAACCCTAAATTATATTAGAGATTGGCAGTTTAGAATATACATTGATTTTGTAGTGTCTAGTTTTACAAGCCACCTCAATACAGCTTTGTGTCCGTAAAAGATTATAGCTTTTATCGATGATGAAGTTAGGATAGGAGATGAGATTTCACCATCACTATTGAAGGCAAATGAAGGATCAAAGATTTCAATAATTTTCTCTAAAGGTTATGCTTCTCCTACGTGGTGCCTCCTCATATGCAAGAGAATGTAGGGTCAGATTGTGATACTAGTTTTCTATCATATAGATCCTTCAGATGTAAGAAAGCAAACCGGGACTTTTGGGGATGCATTTGCTAAGCATGAAGTACAATATAGGCCGAGTCAAGAGTTGCAGATATGGATGAATGCTTTTTGACAGATCAATAGCATTGACGATTCTTATCTGTCAAAGCAAACCTTTACATTCTAACTTGATGCTTGTTACAAATTCGGAGGCTTGGTTTTTCTCCTTCTTTTGTACTTCATATAAAATAACCTTGTAATGGAAGATTTTTTTTTTTTTTGTTTACATTTGTTGTCTGTCGCTTGTCAAAACGAACCTTTTCATTCAAGCGCTTTTGCAGTTCAATTGTGAAACTGATCTAATTTTATTTTGATTTTCCATTTTCACAAATTTTTCTCTCACTTTCTCCCTGTCCAAACAACTCAAAATTAGGAAAATCTAAGGAAACAAAAAGGATTTATTTTCTCTCTTCCTTTAGTTGGGTAGATTTAACTGTCAAAGTGAATCTATTTGTTCTAACATTCTGAAGCCTACTATATAAAAAGCTCCTGATTTGGTCACTCGGTGTTTCATGGACATCCAGGTTACAGTCAACTATTATAGATTCTGTATTTTATATTAAGGGGGCGTTTGGTTCATAAATGTTAGATTACTAGGAATGTTGGATTATTGGAAAGATAGATTACCTTGAAAGATTACTGGGAATCTTTAAGAAAATGTGTTTGGTTAGTTGGTGGGTATGTTATATTAATATGATTGGTTATGGGGAATAAATTGGTGGGTATGTTATTTAAATTATTAAATTGTCCCCTTTACAAATATTAATATAATATTATTTTTATTATTAATTTTTAAATAATTTCTTTTAACCCCCAATATTTCAGATTTAGTTAAAATACCCCTGCTTATATAAAACTTTAATTTATTACGAAATCACCCCTGGCTTCTGCCGCCGCCTGTCGCCACCGCGAACCACCGCTGGATGTCCCCGAAAGTCCTCGTGAGTACGTCACCATGACCAAGAGGCTCCGCTATGGCCATTTTTGGCCATATTGATGGCCGAAAACGGCCATATCCGGCCAGATCAAATCTGGCCATTTCCGGCCATCAATATGGCAGGAAACAGCCATATCGAAGCCTCTCAGAGCCTCCCAAAGAATATCCTTATTTTTTAGGGACTCCGGCGGTGGTCCGTGGTGGTTGGCCCACTATCGGCGGTGGTGGCTGGGTGGCTGTGGTGGTGGTGGCTTGGTGGCAGTGGTGGTCTGTAAATTATTTTAAATATAAGGGCATTATTGTCCAAAATTTTAATTAAATAAGGGTAAAATTGAAATAGGATATTAATGTAAATTTGTTTTAAAGTAAGGGTATTATTGTCCAAAATTTTTATTAATAAGGGATAAAATTGTAACAAAAAAAGATAACCCTGGTAATCGCAGAAAACCTAAGAAAATGGAGGTAATCAGATTACCTCTTATATTACCAATAGTGGTTACTATTGGTATTTGAAGATTACTGGTATCTTAGATTACTTGACAACCAAACATGGTAATCAAGTAATATAAGATGACATTACTCCAATAATCCCACTTAACCCCGAACCAAACGCCCCCTAATAGGATTTTTAATAAACCGTTAACATGGTTAATTTGTGAGGATTTTTATTGTTTATAGACCAACATACCCCTCATTTTGATAAAAAAAAAACTTAGAATCTACCCCTAACTGTCTATGTTTTCTTAATGTTTGTTTCAATGGGTATATCTAAATCTTTAAACTGCAGGACTTGGACTAGTGGACCTAAACCTGAGGGGGCATATTATCCATCCCTTTAAAATTTACTCTTACATCATTTTTCCAGTAAAATTTTCCTGCAGCAAAGTCACTAGATATCTCAAAGGGAAACCTTACAAACTTCCAGTTGTGAAATTGAAACTGACCTGGTTTCATTTTGATTTGTCTGTGCACCCCTTTAATTATAGGTTATTGGTTTGATATTTGTCGAAATATAAAAAGTATTAGAAGAATTGCAATCACACAAAGACACAGAAATTTAACGTGGTTCATCATCCGACTCGTATCAAATGACTACGTCCACGGAAGGAAAAAAACAGGTATTCACATTCACTAAAGTATAAATATTTGCAAGTACTTCATTTATGCACCACCCAGCAACTTTGCGCTAGTACAATATCCCAATTCCCCAAGAATTAGAAATGCAGCAAATTTATTTAACTTGGGATTTCATTGGACTGAAAGGGAACCATGATAATAGATTGATTGAGATCGCCACACACCAACAAGTAGTTGAACCATTCGTCTGCAAGAAAATGCAAAGACTTATCAGTTGATATGTAACATAAAGGAACTACAATGAGGAGAATTATACATAGAAGAAACACTTCATTACCTTCGGACACAAGCAAGTATATATGACTCAATATCAGTTGCATATACAAAGTCTTCAGGCAATGTTTTGTCCTGGAAATCCGTTGTAATGTTTCTCTTGCTCGAATCACCGGATGCGGTTCAACTGAGCGAATGGCTCCCGGATTGGCTTTGGAGCAGGCTTGGCAACTTCTGGAGCCCCAAAAACATTCCAAAATCTGAGTGTTTCATCAGCAGCTGCTGATGCCACTGTGCAACCATCTGGGCTCTGACAAAGTTTAAAACATTCAGCATATTGTTAGTATATGAACCGACAATGGAAAGTAACATACTTTTTCGGGCTTTAATTACTTATTCGGATTATTACCTGTGCCATGAAAAGGACCCTGGAAGAATGGCCTGTAAGCTCAGCCATTTTCACCATTGAAGGATACTTCCACAAAGTGAGCTGATTCTGAGTGAACCCATGAGAGCTAAGCAGCTCTCTTTCATTCTTGTTCCACAACAAAGCACAAACTTGAGAGCCGGTATCCACCGAGTTCAAACATGCACCTGTGTGAGTGTTCCAGAACTTGATGCACCGGTCTCCACCACCGCCTCCAGTGGCCAACAAATTGCCCTGGAAAGGGCACCAGGCAAGGGCCTTGACTGCAGAAGTGTGCTCCTCCAGCCTGTGCAGCCACTGTGTGGGAGAATTTGAAGAGGCCGTGGACCTGTCCCATATGTGGAGAAGATTATCATTGCCTCCACTGGCTAATTGCTGGCCTGAAGCTGACCATTTCAGGCCACAAACCTCTTGAGTGTGACCTCTATAAGTCTCCACAATGTGATCTCTAATTCTCACATCATTGTTAATAATCTGACCATCCATTCCTCCAGTGGTCAGAATATGATTGTTCCAAGCCAATGATCCCACTCTCGATCTGTGGCCGCCCCTCAGAGTTCTTAGCTGTCTGTTGGAAGCAGAATCCCACAATTGTACTTCAGAATTGTTCAACCCAACTGCAATGTGGCGCCCATCCGGCGCCCAATTGACACTTGTGACAGGGCCATTTTCCTCATCAACTGTGACAAGTTCTGAGGTTGAACCATCTGAAGCATCCCACAAATACACTGTGCTTCCAAGAGCTATTGCAAGAACATTGCTACTTCCCCAATCCAATAAGTTGAGGTAGTAATCATCCACAAGATCCGGAGCATCCAATGTCCTCTCAGAAGTCTGTATATTCAAATCAATCAAGGTCAAAATAAATTCAAAAATTGGCAATTCAAATGGAGAAGCTCTAGACAATTCATTTCACCTGAGGGATATGCCTGCGGGGTTTGGCCAATTTAGTCTGTTGAACAGAAGTGGTGGAATGCTCCTGAGGAATGAGTTCAACAGGCGTTGGCGGCTTGTTCTTGAAGGCGAGAATTCTAGTTCTGTTCATGTTGAATGTCTCTGCAAGTTGCTTCCTGTATGCCTCCCGGGAAGGCGAACTGACGGCCGGATTCTCCTTACCTTTCTTGCCTTCTGTCAGCATGAAATGGGCGTAATCAAAGTCCATTGCCGATCGGTTGGGGATGAATCTGTCCAACTGGAAGAAACAAAAAAAGATTATAAAGATTGAAAGAAGAAAATGGTTGCTGAAAAGATTTGAAAATTTTGAGGATTTTTACATTTTCTTTGGAGTTTTTTCTCTGAAGAAAATGTTCTTGAAGTGGGTATCTGGGTTGTCCCTTCAAGTTGGAAGACGAATTCATTGAACCTGCATCCATAACTTTGACAACAAAGAAAACACAAACAAAACAACAACAAAAATACTAAACCCTGCAAAAAATAAAGTAAAGAAATCCTGGAAACAGATAATCAAATGAAAGAAAACAACAAAAAAAATTATTAAACCCTGCAAAAAATAAAGTAAAGAAATCCCTGAAACAGATGAAATATGAATGTAAATTCACAAAAGGATCGTTAGAGAGAGCGTTGATGAGAGCTTGTTGTTGATTGCAAGAGAAGAGATGAGAAGAGAGAGAGCTTTAATGGGGTTTTCTTAGAGGGATTTGTGGAGTTTATATACTGATTTTTCTTGAATTTCTTCGGTGTTCATCAGATTGTTTAGATTTGTTTTATTGTTTTCTTTTTTAAAGGGATGTTTAGGGTTTTTTGAAAGGTGTAACGGCTACCTTTTTCTTCTAAAGAGCCGTTGTAACTTCGGTTTGACGAAAATATCCCTACAATGAAGAGGTCTGGCGATGACAAGATTGTAAATTCGATGTGACGGCCTGCCCATATAAAAGCAAACCCTCGCCGCCAGGTCAGGGCATAAGTTTTTATCCTAGGTTGCTGAAGCTCCCTTAACTTTAATATTATTACAAAAATGCCCCGCATAGTTTGAGAATTAAGTATGATCTCATATTGAATTGTCTCTAACCTCTCCTAAGATTTATCTTATTATCGCTAACCTCCCCTTGGCCGGAGCTCTTAGCGATAATTTTATAATTATTAGGGGTGTATTTAAAACTTAATCATACATTATGGGATTAAATAATTCCTTTTCTAAGGTTTATTAACCATAATTAGGTTAAATTTTTTATCTTCAGTTAATTATATAAACCCCTTAAGACATTATTTAATTTTATCAATAATCATTGTTTAATAAAGTATTAAATATTTCTTATCTAAGGGCTTTTAATACTTTTATTAGGGAATTTTGATAATTAAACTGATTTCTTTGGATTTTTGTAAACCTTGTTTAAAATATTGGGTGTAAATTAACAGTGAATGATCTTATTATGGGGGTCCGAAATATAAACCCTGTTATTTTAAATAAATTATCTTAGATATAAAATTTGAAACTAATTAATCAAAATCAATAAAATATTTTTTAGATGGTTTTGAACTATTATATTTTTGTTATTCTTTACTTGGATTTTTTACTTAAAATTTGTGTTAATTTGACAATCCTCTTGTAGAAGGCATATTCCAGAAGAAAAACCTTATGGAAATAAAGATATAAATACTGATTTATGATTAAAAAAAAAATAATTCAAAATGTTAGTTGGCTTTAAATTAAATTATACCCCAAAAGTTTGAAACAAATTCCTCACCGTCACACTATTTAATTCAATTCTCAATTCATTGATTGAAGTTAATGTCACCAATATGAGAACTTTGACCTTCTCAATCACCAGGTAGATTACCAACATCATATAAATAATAAAGAAAAATAATACAACCACTGAAAGTAATACACCGAATAACGTGACATAATCCTGACTATCGATTAATTATAACTTCATATTAATCGACGGTCAAGATTGCACTACATCATTCGATGCATAAAATTCAGTGCACTACTTTCGATGACTGTAGTATTACTCAATAATAAAATATCGATGTAATGACATTCATTCATTTGCTTGACACATGAATGACATGATACGTCCGATGATGAATTCCAGACTTTTCCGAACATAATGTACCATAAAAGAGGGTGCAAGAAAAATAAGGCCATACACAATACAAAGGAAGGAAGATGCAAATGGTCAAGGCAAATATACAAATCTTAATCATTTATACAAAAGGGTCTTCTGATTCAACAAACTTTCATTTAAGAAAGCAATATGCATCCATTATCCAAATAACATCAAGAACTTGAGACTCTAATTTCCTGATTCTTACTACAAAAGATACTGAACTTGACTGCCTTACAGCACAGGATTCTGCATCGTCAATAGCATCAAAATCGAGTGTATGCAGTTTAAGCACCGAGCAACGATCCATGATTATATGCAAATTTAGTACTATATGCAGCTCCTAGATATTAACATATACGGTCTAGAAACTCTACATGGTTGAAATATAAGCAAAAAGATAATTTTATCAATGCCAGAAGATAAGGCTACTTGGAGTAAAACCCCGGTTTACCATAGTGCTTCGACAAGTAACGTTTTGAAATTGACATTAGGACCACAACCTACCAAGAGTTTGAATGAGAACTAGCGGGTCAGGTGATTTGTTGCCGTCTCATGTATGTGTCTTCATGTACAAATACCGGATCTTGAGAGGCCGGTGGCGGGAACTGGGGTTGTCCCATAGCTATGCCACCTTCATGAGGACCAGAAGAGTTGCCCCATAGATTAGAATTATTATTCTTCACAGAGTTTAAGGTGAGATAATAGAGTATTCCAAGGGCAACACTTGCAAGGGACAGGACAGCACCACCGGCAAACACTCCAGGTTTCACAACATAACAGTAGTAACTGCCAAAGTACATACTCTCTTCACCATGTTGATCATTGAGAGCTGCACCCGTTAGCAACAAAAGGAATGCTATAACAAATGTAAACCTGCAGGAGTACAAGAATGAAGTCACATTGGCTGTCCATCCATTGGTATGAGATGCATATATTTAACAGTTAAAGTAAAACAGCATCACATACCTTGTAAAAAAAATAAAATACACAGGATATAGGCATAAGTACTCTCTTGAATTCAAGTCTAGGTCTTAAAACTTGTGTAAACTTCGACAATTTTAGAACATGGAATAAGAGGGCACAGAACCAACACAATAAAACAATATGATAGTTTCCCGATATGGAAGCAACATCATTTTCTAAGAACCATTATCTCAGAACCTTTCACCTTGGTTATCAGATCTGGGGATATGTTATTACCGGATATATAATATACGTAACAAATAATCTCTGAAGTTAAATGCCCCTAAGACTGTGATCTTGTAACCACAGAAATCATGGTAAGTAGTAGTATTTCAAGGGCAAATGCTATGTATAAGCCATGACTATTATATCAGGCATGAAATTTTTTATCTAAGTTAATGTTCTAACTGTTAGGAAAAAGAAATAAATTGGGAATCTAATTTCTTGCGGATTCAAAAGGTTATTCCCCAGTAAGGAGGAAACACACAAGGAAGTGCTTTAAGGTAGAAAATGACATAGAATTATTGGAAAGTAAGAGGACAAATATACATAGAGATGCATGAATTATACATGTAACAGCTTCAACTAAACAATTTGCAACCGCAACTCATAACTGCCAACAATTACATTGATCAAAGTGGTTAAATATTTGCACTGGATATGAGGTATCAGATTTTACAGTTTGGGATAAATTTACAATATATTTGCATGAAAAGTTTGGTATTGCATATAATTTGGTTCATGCATGCAACTTGATTAAAGTTCAACAGTCATACTTGATTATTGGGGGAAACTGGTTTCTGGGTCCAATGTGCACACGTTAATTGCATGTTGTCATGAAACGTTCGAACCGGAGTACTGTAGAGGAGGAAATTTGGAACTACTAGAGAAACTAAGGCATAAGTACTTTGATAAGATGAGTTGCTCAAGGTAGAGAAGTTGTAAACACAAAGAAGTGGTAACTGTGCATATCTATTTCAAGTAGAGAGGAAGAGGGATATCTCTCATAACAAATTGAATTTGCACACTGTACTTCCTTTCTACCAGTACTGCACAATGTTATTAGGTTGAATGCAACTTATTTTTTCTCTAATTTACCCTTCATCTCAATCATATTGCACAAACCACCAAGAACATATTAGGACCTGGAAGACTTCCATATCTCTCCTTACGTAAAGGGATATGTGTGTTTGGTTCCAGAAGGAGAATTACGTGCCAACCATACAGTGATAATCTGTTATCATAATGGCCAAAGTTCAATTAGGAAGGTTCCATGAGCTTTTATGATGCATAAATGGGGCTAGCCTTGACACAAATAAATTCTAATATTGTTCAAAAGGCCTCCATTCTCCGTCTATTTCTACCCCTCTCCTAGATTACCCTATCTTTACACTCATCCCCTTGTCCATACATATTTCTTCCTTTTTCTTTGTCTCTCTCAAACTTTCCCTTCTTTATCAACGAGAATTTTCCTCCTTTCATAATTCTTAGATGTTTGATATTGATATAGTATTGTTTGATTTTATAAGAAAATCAATTCAAAATAATAAAGACATAAAACAAAACTAAAACATTCACTCAAAGTTGCTCAACCACACAAATAAGGATAAATGGTTTCAACTATTTCGCACTTTGAAATGTTGGTATCAATGAAAAAATATGATTCTCTGGAAGGATTTTGATATTGTCTAAGAAGCTAAATTGACCTAAAAAGATTTTGGAACCACGAATTTCTGGCAAAATTCTTGAAACTGCAAAAGCTTGCTCATAATATAATCAGCAGCAATGCAAAGAAAAATCTAATCTCAAAGAAATTGATTTGAAAAAAATCAAATTGGTGCAACAAGAATATGTATTGAAACTAGTACCAGTCAACAAAGTCATGATTCAAACTCGTGAGGAAGCAAATGGCACTGAAAAGAACAGAAATGCACACTGCTAACATGATAATCCAATGTTGATAGAAGACAGGCAACGATAGTCTCATTCCCAAAAAGGTCAATAAGAAGTCATGCAAAGCATAAGGTGGAAGGAAAATTAAATGAACAATAAGTTAGTCGGCTCAATGATAGTAAAAAATCTTGAAAAATCAACATATATAACAAAAGGTAACTCTTGTTTTATAGTTACTGTTCAAACTCTAATTTTCATTAGAAAACGAATGTCATGGAAATCGTTTTTGCATGCACAACCAAACAGATTTTCGGATAGAGTGCACCAAAAACATTCATTCATACCAAATGGGCCAAAAAATAAATGTAAAGAAGAGTTGCCAGCAGGGCCACAGTTACAGTGGTAAAGGGCTAAAAAGTATCTAATGGAAAGAGCAGATTTGAGCAATAAAAGAGTAAGAAAAGAGAGTGGAATCTTAGGATCAATTTCAATTGTCAACCAAAGATATAATTAGAAACAAGTGACAGATTATAAGTTCCATCAACAAGTTGTGGCTGAGATTTACCACGAAACAACGAAACAGACCAAAGCAATTGTCCAATTAGATTGTGAAGGATGAGGGCCTCGTCTGCAACAAATACACCCAGTAGCAACATTTATAGTAATTTGAGCTATCATAAGAGACACTGCTGCAGTTAAACCAAGGCCAAGGGCTGGACTCCTGGGGTATGAACACTGACTAGGATCGGTGGTATCAACGTCAGAACCCTGCAAAATGAAGAATAGCCAAACCACATAACTAAGCTACAATTACAGTACAATTCAAGGCTTGGTTTCATTATGTCAAAAAAATAAAAGATAAAAAATAAAAAATGAAGAGGTTTCATGTTGATAAAATATAAAGATCAGCAACAACATAAATGATTCAAAGATGACAAAAACAAGACTGAAACTCTGATCCTGCTTAGATAGAATCAAGTACTAAGAAGAATTCCATTCCCATTTCTTCTTCGATAAGACCAAATATAGTGCCCTATCGCCAGATTCTTACTACAAAAGATACTGAACTTGACTGCCTTACAGCACAGGATTCTGCATCGTCAATAGCATCAAAATCGAGGGTATGCAGTTTAAGCACCGAGCAACGATCCATGATTATATGCAAATTTAGTACTATATGCAGCTCCTAGATATTAACACATACTTTCTAGAAACTCTACATGGTTGAAATATAAGCAAAAAGATAATTTTATCAATGCCAGAAGATAAGGCTACTTGGAGTAAAACCCCGGTTTACCATAGTGCTTCGACAAGTAACGTTTTGAAATTGACATTAGGACCACAACCTACCAAGAGTTTGAATGAGAACTAGCGGGTCAGGTGATTTGTTGCCGTCTCATGTATGTGTCTTCATGTACAAATACGGGATCTTGAGAGGCCGGTGGCGGGAACTGGGGTTGTCCCATAGCTATGCCACCTTCATGAGGACCGGAAGAGTTGCCCCATAGATTAGAATTATTATTCTTCACAGAGTTTAAGGTGAGATAATAGAGTATTCCAAGGGCAACACTTGCAAGGGACAGGACAGCACCACCGGCAAACACTCCAGGTTTCACAACATAACAGTAGTAACTGCCAAAGTACATACTCTCTTCACCATGTTGATCATTGAGAGCTGCACCCGTTAGCAACAAAAGGAATGCTATAACAAATGTAAACCTGCAGGAGTACAAGAATGAAATCACATTAGCTGTCCATCCATTGGTATGAGATGCATATATTTAACAGTTAAAGTAAAACAGCATCACATACCTTGTAAAAAAAATAAAATACACAGGATATAGGCATAAGTACTCTCTTGAATTCAAGTCTAGGTCTTAAAACTTGTGTAAACTTCGACAATTTTAGAACATGGAATAAGAGGGCACAGAACCAACACAATAAAACAATATGATAGTTTCCCGATATGGAAGCAACATCATTTTCTAAGAACCATTATCTCAGAACCTTTCACCTTGGTTATCAGATCTGGGGATATGTTATTACCGGATATATAATATACGTAACAAATAATCTCTGAAGTTAAATGCCCCTAAGACTGTGATCTTGTAACCACAGAAATCATGGTAAGTAGTAGTATTTCAAGGGCAAATGCTATGTATAAGCCATGACTATTATATCAGGTATGAAATTTTTTATCTAAGTTAATGTTCTAACTGTTAGGAAAAAGAAATAAATTGGGAATCTAATTTCTTGCGGATTCAAAAGGTTATTCACCAGTAAGGAGGAAACACACAAGGAAGTGCTTTAAGGTAGAAAATGACATAGAATTATTGGAAAGTAAGAGGACAAATATACATAGAGATGCATGAATTATACATGTAACAGCTTCAGCTAAACAATTTGCAACCGCAACTCATAACTGCCAACAATTACATTGATCAAAGTGGTTAAATATTTGCACTGGATATGAGGTATCAGATTTTACAGTTTGGGATAAATTTACAATATATTTGCATGAAAAGTTTGGTATTGCATATAATTTGGTTCATGCATGCAACTTGATTAAAGTTCAACAGTCATACTTGATTATTGGGGGAAACTGGTTTCTGGGTCCAATGTGCACACGTTAATTGCATGTTGTCATGAAACGTTCGAACCGGAGTACTGTAGAGGAGGAAATTTGGAACTACTAGAGAAACTAAGGCATAAGTACTTTGATAAGATGAGTTGCTCAAGGTAGAGAAGTTGTAAACACAAAGAAGTGGTAACTGTGCATATCTATTTCAAGTAGAGAGGAAGAGGGATATCTCTCATAACAAATTGAATTTGCACACTGTACTTCCTTTCTACCAGTACTGCACAATGTTATTAGGTTGAATGCAACTTATTTTTTCTCTAATTTACCCTTCATCTCAATCATATTGCACAAACCACCAAGAACATATTAGGACCTGGAAGACTTCCATATCTCTCCTTACGTAAAGGGATATGTGTGTTTGGTTCCAGAAGGAGAATTACGTGCCAACCATACAGTGATAATCTGTTATCATAATGGCCAAAGTTCAATTAGGAAGGTTCCATGAGCTTTTATGATGCATAAATGGGGCTAGCCTTGACACAAATAAATTCTAATATTGTTCAAAAGGCCTCCATTCTCCGTCTATTTCTACCCCTCTCCTAGATTACCCTATCTTTACACTCATCCCCTTGTCCATACATATTTCTTCCTTTTTCTTTGTCTCTCTCAAACTTTCCCTTCTTTATCAACGAGAATTTTCCTCCTTTCATAATTCTTAGATGTTTGATATTGATATAGTATTGTTTGATTTTATAAGAAAATCAATTCAAAATAATAAAGACATAAAACAAAACTAAAACATTCACTCAAAGTTGCTCAACCACACAAATAAGGATAAATGGTTTCAACTATTTCGCACTTTGAAATGTTGGTATCAATGAAAAAATATGATTCTCTGGAAGGATTTTGATATTGTCTAAGAAGCTAAATTGACCTAAAAAGATTTTGGAACCACGAATTTCTGGCAAAATTCTTGAAACTGCAAAAGCTTGCTCATAATATAATCAGCAGCAATGCAAAGAAAAATCTAATCTCAAAGAAATTGATTTGAAAAAAATCAAATTGGTGCAACAAGAATATGTATTGAAACTAGTACCAGTCAACAAAGTCATGATTCAAACTCGTGAGGAAGCAAATGGCACTGAAAAGAACAGAAATGCACACTGCTAACATGATAATCCAATGTTGATAGAAGACAGGCAACGATAGTCTCATTCCCAAAAAGGTCAATAAGAAGTCATGCAAAGCATAAGGTGGAAGGAAAATTAAATGAACAATAAGTTAGTCGGCTCAATGATAGTAAAAAATCTTGAAAAATCAACATATATAACAAAAGGTAACTCTTGTTTTATAGTTACTGTTCAAACTCTAATTTTCATTAGAAAACGAATGTCATGGAAATCGTTTTTGCATGCACAACCAAACAGATTTTCGGATAGAGTGCACCAAAAACATTCATTCATACCAAATGGGCCAAAAAATAAATGTAAAGAAGAGTTGCCAGCAGGGCCACAGTTACAGTGGTAAAGGGCTAAAAAGTATCTAATGGAAAGAGCAGATTTGAGCAATAAAAGAGTAAGAAAAGAGAGTGGAATCTTAGGATCAATTTCAATTGTCAACCAAAGATATAATTAGAAACAAGTGACAGATTATAAGTTCCATCAACAAGTTGTGGCTGAGATTTACCACGAAACAACGAAACAGACCAAAGCAATTGTCCAATTAGATTGTGAAGGATGAGGGCCTCGTCTGCAACAAATACACCCAGTAGCAACATTTATAGTAATTTGAGCTATCATAAGAGACACTGCTGCAGTTAAACCAAGGCCAAGGGCTGGACTCCTGGGGTATGAACACTGACTAGGATCGGTGGTATCAACGTCAGAACCCTGCAAAATGAAGAATAGCCAAACCACATAACTAAGCTACAATTACAGTACAATTCAAGGCTTGGTTTCATTATGTCAAAAAAATAAAAGATAAAAAATAAAAAATGAAGAGGTTTCATGTTGATAAAATATAAAGATCAGCAACAACATAAATGATTCAAAGATGACAAAAACAAGACTGAAACTCTGATCCTGCTTAGATAGAATCAAGTACTAAGAAGAATTCCATTCCCATTTCTTCTTCGATAAGACCAAATATAGTGCCCTATCGCCAATCCAAAAACTGAGGTAGAGAATAAATAGTCCAGAGATGAAATAAAAGACCTGAGCCTTTGTCTAAAACTTCAATATTAAACAACAGTTTGGATTAGATAAATTAAGAACTGACAGGGTCATTCGTTTTTGATAAGCCCCAACTAAAATCAACCACCGTTGCCCCTTAAAAGAATGCAATGGAGGAAAAAAACAAAAAACAAAAAATGAGAGTGGTCTCTCAGATATGACTCTACATTTTATATTGTAGCAGTGAAAGAAAAAAAAGAAGACCTGACAAAGTCAAAAATTTTCTTTTTGGCTGAGTTGAATAGTATATAATAATAAAGATAACTAACACAAAAGTTTAAACGATCGATAGATAGTACTTCAAATCAATAACAGAAAAAATAAATAAATAAAGTATATAAAAAAGAATCATAAATAATTAAGAAAATTTAAGAAATATTTGATGACATCCTACAAATGAAGAAGATGGAGATAAGAATACTGATGGTTGAAAAGGTGGATGAGAGCATAATATCAAGGATTTCTTCAATAAAGCAACCAAGCGATAAAGAGATGTAACAAAAGAGAGAGTAAAGAACTTGGGTATGCATAGGGATACTTAAGTATGTTAATTGGAAAGCAATCAAAACTTGCTGGATTTTATAACTTACCAGTCCTATAATCCCAATGTAGCTTAAGATTAACTTTATTTTCTATAAGTTATGTTCAAAATACAATGAAAAACCAAATCTCCACTAGCGCACGCTGCACATAATTCGGAATTTCATAGAAAACTTCAATATTTAGAACTTTCATAAATCACTCCTACCAACATACTCCAAATATTAGAGACCAGCTGGGAATTTATATCTCATTTCAAATGCAAAAATTACCTTTTTTATAGTCATACAAATAATAATAGTGAGAACAATTATGTTCTCATTTTCATTTTTCTGAGTCTTAACAGGACAAGTTAAAAATTATGGAATTTAAAACTCATATTTTCTTTTGTTTTTTGGCTTGTGGAAAGAAAATAATAAACAAACACTACCTAATTCAATATCAATCACTCACCATATTAATTAAAGTTTTTTCTTTTCTCAGAGGTCCCTCAAAATTAAAATTTCACCCGAAAATGTTTATTTATTTTCCATTTTCTACCTTATTCTTTCTGTCCAAACAGAATAATCAACTAACCAACAAAAACAAAATAATTTTCTCTCTCTTTCCCTCAGTTTTCACAGCAACCAAACATGGGTTAGTGATTAAGTCCTCAAAATAAGAAGATGAAACGAAAAAGACAAAAGAAACAACAATTTGAAACATACCCAGATGACAAAAACAAGATCTAAACTACCAAAATGAAAAAAGAACATTTTTTTTATTTCTACTTTTTCTCACCTTAATCCTTGTAGCTTCTGCACCAAAACCAGTAGCAGCTGATAAAAGCCCCAAGAAGCCAACAAAACTGCACACAATAAGAACTTTTCTCTCCATTTCTCTCTCTATGAATGAAAGCTTGAAGCTTTGGCTTCTCTTTCTTGCTAAAATCTAGGTGCTTTACTGCTTTTGTCCGAAGATGAAACGTAAAGTTGCTGTTCAGTGTAGGTGTTGCAAACGGGAATTATATGATGTCCCAGTCATGAGGGCAGTATCGGAATTTCACATCGGATTGGTGTTTGGATAAAGTTTAATATTCGAAGAAGAAAGGGTTAATTACAAGTACCTCCTTTGAGTTTCGACGAACTCTATCAAGACTCAAAGGTTTGTTTCGTTCTCCCACGGGCGAGAAGATTCTGATTGGGTAGTGTTTATGCTTTACATGTTGTTAATTTACTTATTTACCCTTACTTAAATATGATGGAAGAAGAGAGGTTAATTACAGTGACCTCCCTTAAGGTTCGACAAATTGTTATCGAGACTCAATGGTTTGTTTCGATCTACCTTTAAGTTAGAAGATTCTTATTCGTATAGTGTGTTTTATGTTGATTTACTTATTTACCCTTAGTCAAGCATGACAGAAGAAGAAAGGGTTAATTATAATAGCGTCCATTAACGTTTGATGAATTTTATTGAAACTCATAGGTTTGTTTCGTTCTCCCTCGAGCAAGAAGATGAAGATCTTTTATTGTGTTGCGTTTACATGTTGTCAATTTACTTATTTACCCTTAGTTAAGTGTGACGGTTTGCCATAGTCAAGTGTTGGCTTTCTAAAACTATGGCAACTTGTATATTACACATATAAACGTAAGTATCTCTTGAAAATTGTTATCAAATACAATAAATTAAATTGATTTTGTAAATATCTTCCAATACATTTATAATAATATTAAGAAAGGATAAAGTTATTAGAAATTAAATTTTCAAACTAATTTGTTAATACAAATTCATAATCTCTTAACTATGATATATAATATTTTTTAGACAGTTGTTAAAAATAGTTTTCTCTTTCTATCAAATCTTCCACTTCTAAACCATCAAATAGTTGCAAGTAAATGATCACGAACTTGTAAAATAATTTAAGTTTAAAAAAAAAAAAATTATGTACAAATGCAAATCAATTTAAATTTAAAAGAATTCCCAAAAAGTACCTCAATATTTTTGTATTCAAAATATAAGCATCACTATAATCAATAAATAATATAATTTTTTAAAGTATTTCTAAGGAAAAATATTATATTACCCTTATATTATTTTATTTTTTATTATTTAACCTATAATTGGAAATTATGTACATTTTTAAAACCTTAGGATCTCATGATAGTTCTTCAAACCTTGGGGGATTTATAAGAGAAAATCTTATATTTCACGTACCAATAATTTATTAGGACAACATACCCCTGATTAGGATGATTTAGGACCGAGCTTTTGTCATGCTTTATTAATATTCTCTATTTCTCTTGGCTTTTGTCTAAAAATAGTAAAAAAAAAAAAAAAAAAAAGTAAAAGTAAAAGTAGAATTTGAAAATGATACCCAACACAACTGCTTCGGGCCAAAATATTATTCTATATTTTTTAAATTTTTTTTTAACTTTTTAAATTTGTTAATTTAATTAAATATCTTAAATATTTTTTTAGAAATTATAAAAATACTCTGGCCACCCTCCGACGGTGGTGGTCGGTTGTCCATATTTAACGGATAGGTTAGGGGTATTTTTGTTAACTTTAAATATTTTATTATAGGGGTGTTTAGTAAATAAACAAACACAGAGAATATTTTTATCAATTTCCAAATCTTACATCGTAATACCTGCCCAATTTAACCTTTTTCAAAAAATTATTCTAAAAACTATCAGAATAATGAACCAAACGGAGCTAACATTCCTATAAATTCCTCAATTTGCCGATAAGGGCAATTTCGTCAAAAGAGACTTTTTCCATAATCACATCTCATTATTATTGTTTCAAGGTATTTTATATATTCATACGAGAGATCAGTAGATATATAATGCTCCAATGGTTTTATTAAATTATTAAATATTTTATATTAGAGATTTTATTTTTAATTTTTTGCAATGAAGTTTTTATAATCTCATATATTTTTTTAATAATTTAATAGTATTCAAATATTTAAGAGGTCCTGAGTTCGAATTCCTATGACTACTAATAAAGGTAGTCATATAGGATTTATTTGATCGTTAACTTCAGGACTTCGAATGACTAATTAAAGTACGTACAAGCTAGTTTGAACACTCGATTATCAAAAACAAAAAAATATATCATGAAAGACGCTTTGATGTTAATCAATTTTCTCAAAGATTGATGAAATTAACCTTATTTTAAAATTAACGAGGATGTTGCTATTTTCATAATTGTGTTATGTGGTAATTAAATATTAATTTACAAAAAGTTAGAGACTTGGAATGAATTTTCCATCTTCTCCTTAATAGAAAAAGAAAAAGAAGTAAATATTGAATATAAATAATATTGTTTCCAAAATAAAATATGAAAAATGGTATGCAACACAACATGCCTAAAATGCCCCAATTTGGTAATCAATATTTTAATATAAATGTGGATGGAGTTGCGTGCAATTTTCGATATTCTATTTTAATATTTAAATGAAAATCACCTGGCGGTGTGATTAATTTTAAAATAATCCAGAAGTGTTTGACTTTGGTCTTGGTTAAATTTAAATTTTGTATTTTTAAAAATTAAATTTATTATCTCTTTCACTAGAATCTAGATAATACTTTGCTTAGGTTTACTCTTCTGGATCAGGTTTCATTTGGTACAATTTTATTTTTTTAAATAAATTTTTATTAGTTTCTTAACTAGAAAAAAAAAAAAAAAAAGTAAAAGTTGGTAGGCTTTCCAATCAATCACATTTATTTTCCTATATAATTCTCTTATCTTAAACTAACTTGGAATAATCTCGTCGATGAGATCACATATATCTCTTCCCTTTAGATCAAATGACAAACCCTTTAATTATTAGAGTTAATTATATCCAGAAGATCTTATGTTCGAGTTCCCTGAAGAGGTATCAAAGTGTTCCATTGCGGGCCGAGTCAATAAGTAGTTATCTAATTTTTTATCATATACTTTAAACATAACACCATAAACTCGTCTTTAAAAGTATTAAAAACTTGCTAGTAACTATACTTTCTTTCAAAATAAACAATCTCAGGATAAATAAAATNCTATATAATTCTCTTATCTTAAACTAACTTGGAATAATCTCGTCGATGAGATCACATATATCTCTTCCCTTTAGATCAAATGACAAACCCTTTAATTATTAGAGTTAATTATATCCAGAAGATCTTATGTTCGAGTTCCCTGAAGAGGTATCAAAGTGTTCCATTGCGGGCCGAGTCAATAAGTAGTTATCTAATTTTTTATCATATACTTTAAACATAACACCATAAACTCGTCTTTAAAAGTATTAAAAACTTGCTAGTAACGATACTTTCTTTCGAAATAAACGATCTCACAAGGAATAAATAAAATAAACATTTAACTTCTCGATAATATTTGATTATGTCCAAATTTAAGCTCGATTTATAAGATATATTTCTAAATAAAATTAATAGAAAAAAAAAAGGAAGAATTAAAGATTTTAACAATTAAACTCTCTCTCAGAAGGTTTGAATACTTTCTAAAATACTGAATGCCAATAAAATTCTATAATCATAACCCTTAAAACATTTCTTTTTAATCATATAATCATCAGATTCCATTCTTGGAATTTGTTCAAAATAATTCTTGAATTTACATCTTCATAAATATGACATCAAGAGCAAATGAGAAGAACAATACCTTTTGAAACAGTGTGGTCATTGAAGACCATAAACAAGCAATGCTCCAACACCAGCTAAACCAGCAACCAGACCAATAAGTACACCAATTGGAGGCAATCCCCCACCAATTGCCTTACCGGTGTTCACATCGTACCTCGCAAACCTCTTCTTCGGCGCTCTGCATTGTGGACACACATATGTATCCGGCTGCATATTGTAAAGAAACAAAAGCTTTCAATGACAATTCATTGTTGCTGCATAATTTACAACATATTTGATTCAACTCCAGCAGATAAAAAAAAAGGAAAAGCATAGAATGGATTTGAGGACAGCTCTATGGTATTGACCCAGTAACGCCCCCATATAATACTAATTTCGCATTATATGGTTACTAAAACAATGTTGAAACAATTTATATTCCATTGTCATTTTTGCATTGAATGTTAAACAATACCAAGATGATATTGAGTGCTAGTGGAACCAGAATAACGGTTCCTGTATTGAGGCGATTATTGAATATGATCCTCAAAAGAGTGGAAATTGCTATTGTCTTATGTAATTCTTGCTTCTTAATGATACAGCGATCCTATAGATATTGTAACAGCGCAAATTTAAACCATGGAATGGCCTTTGCAACTCAACCTTGGCACTGAGAAATGCTATGGTGAACAGAAAATTTCTCTCTTCTTTCTTATGTTTCTTCATTTTCTTTCTCTTTTTTGTTCATACTGTTGTGGCTGGTTTCAAATTTCGTGCATGATTCATTGGATTATTCAGTGAACGGAATTTCGACAAAGTAAAGAGGCTTGCCTGCTCATCGAAGGATTTTTGCATGGTGTATATGTATCCGCAGTCAAGGCAAATGTGAGTAGCTCTAGCCTGCAATAGGCTATATGCTATTAGTACTCGCCAGAGTATGTATGCAAAGTGATTTCACCTTGACTATATAAACTCAAAAAGTTCAAGAAGATTCTTGCCTTTTGAGCCTCTGATAACTTTCTTCCAAAGCGGGGAGGAGCCGGACGCTTCGGTAGACGTTTGACATCTACTTCTGCACCTCTGCAACACATAGAGATGAACTAGCCGTGAGGCCAAGAACAGAACAAAACAAATTATTTCAAAGGTAAATAGAACAAAACAACTTTTGCACAGAACTTTATACCAACAATTCTACCACAACCATTTCAAACAAATTCATATGGAGCTTGTTAGTAGCTGCTCAATTCATAAAAGCTCAAGCACCAGGATCATAACCTTCCAATTTCTAAACCCTAAAACATAATTTTAGTGAATTTTATGAGAATCAAAGAGCAGGAAAGAAATGAAATTAACCTGCTAACAACAAAGTAGATAGAGTCAGGCTTTGCCTGGATGGCAGTTTTGGTAAATCCGAGTTTATCAGCTGGCCAAAGTTCATCCCCAAAGAAGCTGCTTGTGTAAAGAACCTGATCCCCAGACTTTAGCCCTGCTTTCGCTGCATTCCCTCCTCCCTCTACAGCCTAAATCAAAATCAAAATCAAACCACAATTGATCACAAAATCATTCCAGCAAACACATGGTTTTCCAACAAATTGTGTCAAATTTGGCTGCAAATTGAGATAGAATGACATGGAACTCACAGTGATGACCACACCACCTCCAGACTTTTGGCCCAAAGTGAGGCCTAGTGGCTTGTCAACTTCGACCTCAATAGTCTTTGAAGCCCCGGCAGTTCTCGCTGCAATCTCAAGGCCTCTACTTTCATTGCTCAAACTGCTCTTTCTTGCTGCTATGAAAAGATCTGAGACTCCCCTTTTGGCTTCCTGAAGAGACACACCTTGGAATGCGGTTTTCTACACACAATCAAACAAAATTCCTTATTTTATTCAAAAAACAAGTTATATATCAGTTTCCAGTTACAAACAGTTTTTGAATATTATATCAAACGCGACAGATTACTATATATCAGTTTCCAGTTACAAACAGTTTTTGAATATTATATCAAACGCGATAGATTACAACTGAGAAGAGATACCTGGGAAGGAGAAGAAGAGAGTGAGAAGGGTTTTGGAGAAAGGTTTGGAGAGATTTTAATGGAGTGGTTCCTGGAAAAGGTGGCGGAGCAAGAGGAGGAGGCTCCTGCAACTACAGCTGAGGACATGGTTGACACCAGAAAGTTGAGAAGGAGAGAGAAAAAGAGAGGAAGAGTTAAAGACAGTGAGAGGGTGGAATTAGTTTACTGTTTTAGTGGCTATGGGAAGATAACATTCTAGTGGCTCCTGAAAGTGGAGCTACAGAGGAAGTCTCAAGCCCTCGTACTCTCTGTCCTGGTCACAAATTGTACACGTGGAACTTTTCTGCATTTATAAACTTTACTTCAGCAGGTGGGCAGGTAATTAATCCCACTGTGTCTAGGAGTTAATTAATCATCAACGGTGCACATCGGTAAAAAACTTATTCTTCCTCTAAATTTCATGATATAACAGTGTAAAGTAAATTTCATGATATAACAGTGTAAAGAATAGAAAAGACATTTTAAATTAAAGGTAAGCAATTTTGATCAAATTGATTAACTATTTTTAACATTTAAGAATAACAATAGTATCTGGTTAAACCTTTCAACCGTTATTCAAAAATACCAACCATTCAACCAAAATTTATAATCATTTGGTTAAAACTATCAACAATTTATTCAAAATATCCTTTTTAATTCTTAAATTATGATAGTTAAACAACGAAAACATTATTTAGGGATAACAATGTTAGTTTTCCAAAATTGGGGAAAAATGCACAAAACCGTTATTGTACTAAACTTTAGGGATGGCACGTAATAAACCCTTATGTGTAAGACTTGATATTAATGTTAGATTGGCATCTAATACTTAAACTTTTGAATCAAGTGAATCTTGAATATGGTATTAAACTCGGGTTTCAAGTTCGAATCATTTTTCCCACGATAATAAAAAAGAAAGAGGATGATCTAATATGGTCTACCGAGTTCGAGTCCTTATTAATAGGGTTGGTCATTGGAGCTCTTACCCGGCTGGTAGTTAGGGTTTCGAGGAATTAATTGAGGTATGCACAGACTGATCCAAACACCCCCGGTCATTAAAAAAAAAGTTCGAATCCTTTTTGGAACTAGACTCATTTTGGTTGTCTCTCTAATTCATATTACACATGAAAACCTAGATTATATAGTTGGACTGTTAAGATTGGCTTATATTTATAGGTTAAGTGGTTGTTTTTAATAGTTGAATCTTAAGAATATCACATTGAGTGATTAAAGGGACATTTTGTTTTGTTGTAAAAGGAGAATACGTCTACTTTATACAAGAGTATGGACCTTTTGGGTTACGGACGGGCGAAATCATCATCCAGTTTCCAAAGGGAGATTTGTTAAACGTCTCATCTGAAGGGAGACTTATTGAGTCTTCAATTTATATGAGCTTAATGTATGATACATCCAAAGGCTAAGAGTTGAACACAAACTCTCAAAAAATTTAAAATTACAAAATTTGCATACAATATCTTCCTTACAAGTTGCCGTGGCACACGACAAAAAAATGAGTGAATTAGTTAATACAGAAAGTTTATGGTACCACGATGGTATTATTGACATCATATTACAAGTTAATACATATACATCAAATAGTTATTCTAAAGATAGATGAGAGAAAAAACTAAGGCGGTACAAATTCATTGGATGGCGGTATGAATTATTTTATTACTTGACCATCATCGTTCATCGCTATTGTTTAGTACAATCAGTCGGCTTAAAAGAAACAATCCCTTTATGCAAATCGAAACCAATCAAAATATTCGACTGAGCAAAGTTCCCAAATATCCCAACATCGTCACTGATTGGCTGCATGGCAAAACAAAACACACCTTCCATGGGAGAAATAAAAATGCTAGTCCAAACCAATGGCACGGCGGCTCCACCATCAAAATGAGCAGCTGAAGTCGGTGCAATATCCTCCATGGTGGCTCTTTTATAACAAAGTTGTGAACCCAACTGCGGATTTTGAAACGGTGTCAATTTGATTGCCTTTCTCACTTCTTGTTCTAATCTGTTGTAAAAATCCTCAGGCAAAAGCGTCGGTGGCACGCCGGAATCGATAAACACGTTTCCTTTCGAAACCGTTTGCGACGATGAATTATTATAAGGGATGAAATTTTTTCCAATGCTGATTCCTTCTAGAGTTACAAAGTAATAAGTCTTGTCATCTTTGGGAACTAGAGGAGTTGAAACGACACCGGATCCTGAAACTTCGCTTATGCTACCGAAATTGATCTTGCTTGTGAAATTAGGGTTTGCATGAAACGGGATCAAGCAATAAGAAAATTTAATGTTTGTTCCGAGCTGAGAACTGATTTGGGAAACGAGTGATAAGTTTCTTCCTCCTAATCCAACTAATCCCATTTCATTTTCATTGAATCCTCCAGTGTTGTTGTGTCCGCATCCGAAAACAATGTTGTTGAAGATATTTGAGCCGAGAGCAATTGTTTCTGTGGCGAGAACGCCTTCGGTTAATGCGTTACTTCCATAGCCATAAGTGTAGTTACATGCTTGCTCAGACGAGCAAGAGACTGTTTCTAATAAATGGCATTGAATCGATTCACATGATAGAAAATTGTACGAAGACGAAAAAGAGGGATTAAAAATAGGATTTTTCTGTTTGTAACATCGTTGACAGGGAAGACATTGAGCCCAGAGAAGGTCACTGCCGGTGTCAAGAATACCATAGACGTCTACCGGGGGAGTTCCGATGGAAAATTTCATCAGATACTCACCATTATCTGGCGATATGCTTGTTTGCGGGGCGTTGGAAGGGAGTGGTGAAGCCATTTTTAAGGAATTGAGACGAGAGAGAGCTCGTTTGAAGGAGTTGTTGAAACGATTGAAAGGGGTTTCATTGGGGTTGTACAAGGGAGAGTTGGGGGAGTCTCGATGGATCAAATCGATGCTGAAACCGCCATTGATGGCTTCTGTAGACGAAATTGAAAGGCAGATGAAGAGGAAGAAGATCATGGGGAGAATTTGTGGATGAAAATGAAGTATTTTCGCCATTCAAGTTCAAGAAGAAAAGAGAGAGAGAGGAGGGGTAATTCTATGAAAGAGTTACAAGTATTTTGCATGAAGGAGAGAGAAAATATAGAATTAATTATTAGTAATAATATAAGTTTTTAGTAAATTATATTAATTAATTAATTAATTTCCTTAATATGTATATATGTATATATCCCAAAAATAGTATCCCACAAATAGTCAATAATCAATGATAATGATCACGAGTATCAGGTAAATTATCAGAAAAAAGATAATTATACATATATTAGTTATATATATATATATATATATATATATAAAAGGTTGACTGATATGAATAAAGTTGTTTTGACGTACTCATTTTTAATTCGTTCGAGAGATAGAATCAACATATTGATACGGTGAAGATACTTTGTTATAAGTTTATGAGAAAACATAATAATAGTAAAATGAAAAATATTTTTTAGTTTATTCAACAAATTAATTAATGTGTGCTCTCCTCCATTTAAGGCAGTAGCTTACCTATATACTATAAATGAAAATGTTAGAAGTTAATATAAGCAATAGGAAATTTAGGCATGATTTTAGTAATGTTTATCGCCATATTGAGTGTGCTCCCTCAATTTATGATAGTAGATAACCTAATATAATAGAAAATGGTTAAAAATTTAAAGGGATTTGGGCAATGAAGCAACAACTATTGGAGTTGTCCTTTGGTAGTTGACTAAGATTAGTCACAAGAAGATTCAATGGTTCCAATTAATGGTTGGTAGACAATGAAAATGTTAACGTGCTAGCAATTGGGGTTTTTGTCTTTAATATTTATAAATTTAATAGATTTTTTTTTTTTTTTTAAAGTGTAAAATCTTATGTCACGACAATCTTAGCCCTCACATATCCATGTACATTTACATTTGAGCTTCACACAAGCGTCTTTCACGTGAAACACATCTTCACAACTTAAGAGATCAAAAGACATTTAACTAATTTTTACTTAAGATTTCTTACCATGTCGGATGTGAGGCTATTTAATTAGAATTTCCAAAATGAAAAATAAAAATTCATTAGCATTATTTAGCTTAACAAATTGCATCATCCGTTTTGGATTTTAGGTATGCACCAATAATTTCTTGCTTTTTTTTTTTTTTTTTTTTTGGAATTTGAAGAGTTCGATATAGGCCTATCTCTGTGATATTGGGCCAGTTTAAACTAGCCCACAATTTATCTAAACGGATCAAAATATAGTCCAAACAAGTGCAACCAATAGCCCGACCCATGACCTAAATTTTAGACTAAAGGCCCAATTAGGGATATGAGGGAATGACAAAAATATACAATTTTTTGCCTCGTAAATAAGAAGAAGAAGAAGAAGAAGAAAAGGAAAAGAGTTCAGAAAATTTCTCCATTGTTTTTGGTTACTTATATTCTTTAATATGTTGCATGAAATTATATTTTTAAAATTGTGGTATGTTACACGGACAAAGAGTGATAGTATTTAAATTTTAGATGGTTTAACCGAACATCAAAAAACATTTTAATAAATAAACATTTTCCAATATCCCTCTTTTTGTTATAAAGAAAATCAAATTCTTTATAGTTTTTTAGTGCATCACAAGCCTCTTGTAGGTTTTGATTCTATATGAGTTCATTGGTAATCATATAAACATCGTCCTTTTATCTCAAAGTAACAATAGAAAAAGTATAAGCGTTTGTATATTTTCTTTCTAAATATGTTTAAGTTTTGCATTTGGAGTGTGTCATTTGATTTATTATTCAATGAAAGAGTCGTTTTATTCTATTTTTACGAAGAGTAACGATGCATTTTTATTAAGAAAATTTCAAGAGATTATGTTAAAAAGATTGGGACAAACAAAACAAAAGTTAGGCAAATGTTGTGAAAACCAACTCATATAAATTTCGTTAAGAAAAGTTGGTATTAGAAGAGTTGGTGTATTTCACAAACAAACCAACCTCAAAGTTTAGGTGGAACTTGTTGCTCAATAGTAGAGGTTTGGTATTAAACCTTAAGATATAGCTTTAAGGGTTGTTGGAATTTCAACATATTTTAGATCTAATTAAATGGATGAGGTTTTACGTGCATATTAACTAATCTTCAAGGGAAGCTATCCCACATCAACCAACTGTCATAGCTCCTAAGTAAATCATGAGCAAATGTACTACTTTTGCATCCAGCCAGGAATTGAACCTAGGATTGTGGGTTCTACCCATTTGCAACCCCCTTGGTTCACCCATACTGCTGAGCTACCCATGGGTGGGTAAATGGATGAGGTTTTAGAGAGTGGAGAGTAGAGTTTTCTTCTTCGTAAGAAAGAAAAATGTGTGAGAGAAATCAAATGTAATTGAGTCAAGATTTTCTGAAAGTGAACTGTATAATCTTTGAATGATAGCATAATTTTCTTTAATAATGAAAAAAAAAAAAGGACTAACCTTAATGTGGGTGTATGATTAATTAACACCTAAATCACGGTATAATTCTTTGTCTTGTTCTTATCATCTTATGTGTTTGATTTCGACTGTTGTCTATCTGTTCCAACCTATGTTGGTGGAGATACATACTCCCAATAATTATGATTTAAAATACTGATATTATTAATTTAAAATATTATTATTATTATTAGTTAAAGAAGATGCATGTAACATAACTCTCTCTTTATTGATAATGGTTTGCTTTATTAATTAAAGATAACAATTTTAATCTCTAGTGGTAATTTTTTTTAAGGTGCAAGTCAACCTATAATGACGAATATTACTAAACTTATTTTAATTAAAGTAAGACCTACCTCCATTCCAATTTCATTGGGGAATGCATGTACCTTTTACATTAAGATTATAATAAATAAATGAATAACAATAGTAAAAACAAATCTATGACGTAAGCCCATTAAAAGAAATTACCATGGATCATGAAGTTTTTTTTTTTAAAAACAAAAAAAAAAAAAAACTATTTTTTTATAAAATTTGAGTAAATATGATAGATTTAACTATATTTTTAAATATAGTTTGTTAATCCAATATTCACATAATTATTTTTTTAATTAGAAATAGGTAGTTTTTTTGCTTTTTCAAATTATATTAGGGGTTGTTTTAGGGGTTGTTTTAGAGTTTTATTTAGACCTTTAATTTATATTAATTAGTATTATATATTTTTGACTTTATTTTTATAGATTTCTAAATATAAATTCAACTCTCTCTCAATAGGTTCTTATTTTTTTTTTCTTTTTTCTTAATAATTAACAATGATATGAGGATTAAAATATATTCATGTTTTCTACAACAAATTTATTCGGTCCAATATTCACCTATGACCTACCTACTAAGTATTAACATTATTGGTCATTGGGTTTATATAAAATTTGTTTGGCAAGCACCATTTAAAACACTTTCAATATAGAAAAAGTGCTTATGAATTGGTTTTTTTTTTTTTTTTTTTTTTTTTTTTTTTTTTTTTTTTTTTTTTTTTTTGTGGATTATAATTTATAATAGACGTTCCAGTTTCCTCCCTTGAGTTAGGAAGAACTTTATTATACCCTTTAAAGTTTGAGAAATATTAATAAATCTCCCTTTTATTTAAGTTAACTAAAGGATAAGAAATATTATTAATATCGTTTAGCAAAACAACTTTTTATTTTTCAAAATAATTGCATTAAAAAAAAACTGAACATTTCTTATTTCTACAATAAATAGAAGATTTGATTACAGGATGCATGAAATAAATAAAATAAATTTAATTTGGGAGTAATTATCTAGTCAAGACGTCTTTATATGTCTGAATTATGTCTATACAAATGAGACTAAATGATATTTTACAATTTGGATCTAATAGTATATATTTATAGTTGTGAAGAATTAATAACATGACCTTCTAACAAGAAAATTATTCTTTAATTCAACAGACTTTCTAATAAAATTATAGGGTCGAGTCAAAATATTATAGTTTAATTTTTTGACATTATTTAATAATGTATAATCTATAAAAGCCAATAAATTAAAAATAATTATTTCAATGTTAGCTAAGTATTCTTTACTTTCTTTAGATTTATTTAAAAGAACGGTTATAAAATACTATTATGAGCTCGAGTTAGAAAATTCGGTCACACTCTTTCAATCTAGAATTATTTTATATATTGATTTTGAAATTGACTTGTACTAAATAAATAATTAATTAAATATAAAATAATTTTATTCGACGCATAATACCATAAGTCACACTTATTTTTTTAATTTTTTCTTTTAAATACAACCGTCCTCATATTATTGCAATAATGTACATAATAATAATTATTCCTTCTTTTGTCAAAGGAGAAAATTGTCTTTTTCTAAAAAGTAGACATTGCACGCCGAGTAATGCATTTTCAATGCCAACGACGTACTCAATCCAACAAAGAACAAACAACTAAAAACTAACACCGTCAACTACCACGTAACCCATTGACTAACGCCGGAATATCCCTTTGGGAAACCGCATCTTTGACGGAGACCGTGCACTCGTTAGTTAACGTTTATTATTATTTAATATTTAGTATTACTATATTTAAACTTAACAAAATTTAATTATTTACCTCCGTAATCCCTATACAAAAATGACCATGTGGGCAAGATTCCATTCATTCTATGTGAAATTATATTATTTCATGAGATCTAATCAATTAAATTATTTGTACATGTTTTTATTTTACTAAATTTAAATTAGTTTTTAAAATAAATATAATTTGACATATTATTTATATTTTTAGAAATTAATTTCTAAATAATATAGTTTTTTTTTTCAATTTTTAAATATAAAGTAAATTTTTTTAATATTTATTGATATGTTAATAATTCAAATGTAAAAAAAGAATTGCTATTTTTGTCTAATTAGATTTGAGAATAAAGTTAGACTAAATGGTACATGAAAAGTTTTACATAAACACAGCCTATTATATTATTTATATGCCAATTAAATAAAATTTTTATTTTAATCTTTGACATTCCCCAATATTATTATTAGTAACTTTTATAATGCATATCTACTTAGTATATACTCATTGATATACATATTATGTTATTTATGTAGTACTCATACAAATGTTTACTACTTAGGAAGTATTGATTGTTCAAAGATGATAAATTTAGAGATTTTCTAAACCATATAAAACTTTTGAAAATCCTCTTTCTTATAAAGTATTTAATAATCTTTTAAAGTAGTAATACCATCTTTTAACATTTTAGCTAATTATTATCATATTGTGTAGGTTTGTTTTTTGGTATTGAATTTTTACCTCTTACTTACCTCAAATAATGTGATTTATAATACATGTATCTTGATTCAAACCCATAAATTCATCCCTATAAATAGGGTGTTAAAAAAAAATACAAAAAGTGAACTGAACCGATAACTGAACCAAATTTTCAGTTATCCGAAGAATCGATTTGATTTCAGTTCAAAGAAATTAAAAAACCTAATTTTTAGTTCAGTTATCAATTTGGGAGAATATGAGAAACGGTTAACTAAAACCAATTTATTATAAAAATATTAAATTAAAATAAAAAATAAAAAAATCATGTTTATTATAAAAATATTAAATTAAAACCGGTTAACAATTTTTTGGTTAATCGAAAAACTGGTTTTCCCTTTAACCTGTTCGATTTCGATTTACAAAATCGATTAATCGGTTCAGTTAATAGGTTTTAAACACCCTTACTTATAAAGAAATCAAGAGTACTAATTGAGGACTGTAAACTACACATGCAATATATGGATGGACACGTATTAACTTGTTTTAATAATGACTTCAATGTCAAGTCCTATTATTATATAAACTTCAATATTTACATATTAATTCCACGTTGAAAAAAATACATTATCTTATTAATCAACAGTAAACACGCATAATACGCGATTTTGGACGGCCGTTAAGTCCACCATCCAAATCTTTCCCAAGATCCATCTTGATATCCGTGCAGTCTAGGACAGATCCAGTTAACTAACGGCGTGAGTAAACGGAGAGCGTAAAAATGATCTAGTATGACACGGCGTACGGTACGGATAGGTACGAATGCGGAGAAAACAAGAAAGGAAGAAAGAAAAAGGAATTGCAGGCGAAAATAACAATTGCATCCCAAAGTCTTATAAAAATTTTAAAGTAACGTTTTGATCCCTATTTGCAATGTGTTAATCTGGTTCGGTCGGGTTTTGCCAAACAATAAAACTAAAGTTACAACTTTTTTATACAACTTTTTCACATAATCTTGAATTAACAACTCGCAATTAGTTAGTTTGTATTTTAACAAACGAGACCCACTACGAACTGATTAATCACGAGTTATTATATCAAAATAGTATGAAAAAGTTGTAAGTATAGTGTTATTCTTTGCCAAATCCAAATCAACCAAACGTTTTTGGGTTCTTACAAAAAAAAACCCCAAATTAATCCTTATTTATTAAAAACACAAACCAAATCAATTTAATTCCATTAGTTCGATTAAGATTAATCAGTTTAAGTCATATATATAATTATTTTTTTCTTTGTCAAACTTGTATCACATATCATTTAAGAATTTTATTTTTCAATACAATCAATTGTTCAACTTCAAAATTCATTGAATTTTGATTAAGAATATATTAAGAATCTTGGCAATATAATTTATTGACATCAACAATTACATAATAAAAACATATAATAGCTCAATTCGTGATAAATTTATTCAAAATGCTATTACCAATCCATTTGGATTTGGTTGATTTGGATTTATAGTATTTGTAATAATACGGTTCGGTACAGTTCGGGTTTTCGAGTTGAAAAGTAAACCCATACCAATCCATTTACATTTTTATTCAGTTCATTAGGTTTGATTTTACGTTTTAGTATTTTGAAACACGAACCAGACTGTTCGGTTCGGTTTACACACCTCTGGTTTTGGTCCATAAGGTATGCTACTAATAGGAAACAAAACGTTAAAAAAAAAATTTACAAGACTAAAGGGAAATGACGTAAAACTTCAGGAACGAATTTGTAATTTGTCAACCGGTAGGCACAGAAACAAAAACGTCACACCAATTATTAATTTTTCCTTTAAAATAAAAAAATAAAAAAATCTGAAAGTTGTGTATATAAAAAAGATGACTGGTACAAGATTTTCCTTACTCAGAGCAAAGCTGAAGCTGAAGCCAAAAGCTAGAGCTATCAAATCCTCAATCTCTTCTGAAAATTTCTCTTTGCTGTGTTTATTGTATGGCCGCCAATTCGAAGAGCACTCGAGAGATCGCCAACTTGGGGAAGCGCGTCGTCAACCACTTCTTCACGCGCGATCCAGCTCACTCTGCCGTAACTCGCGCCTCCAGGTTCGTTTCTTCTTCTTCTTCTGCGTCATCATCATTTCGTTTGTGTTGTTCAATTTGTGCTTTACTTAGTTGCTGTTTTGCTTGTTTTTATCCGCGTTTTGCTTCGCGATTTAGGATTAATGGACGATTCTTGCCTGCGTTTTGTTTTATTTCTCTTCTTGAAGCAAAATTTGGTGAAGATTAGTTTAGTTCAGCTTAATTAATTAATTAATTAGTTAATATTTATGTGATTATTCAAGGAATTTTATTCGCTTGTTGCCATATTAAGTTATTAACTAGTTTTTTTTTTTTTTTTTTTTTAAATCTGGAAATTTTTTATTAAATTATTTAGAAATATTCTAGAGATCTCTACTATTTTCTAAACTCAGACTCACTTAATCAGAGATCATGAACTAAAATTAACTATTTTAATTAATTATTTAGATAGTACTCTCAAATATTTCCTTTTTTATTTGTAGAAAAATTGATTTTCTGAAAAATATCTGAATATTTAATGTTGTTCCCGCAGAAAATGTAGTTGAAATTCTACTTTAATGGATAATTTACGACACGGCAGATTTTGACCCTTTGTGCTTAGTGCTTTATTCTAGATAAGGACAGATTAAAGGTGGACCAGTGATATAACGACACTTGTCCACATAAGGGTATTTTCGGAATATGGTTTCCTTAATCTTTGTATTGAAGTTTCGTCTTCTTTCCAAACGATATTCTTTACGTGGTATTAGGTCTCTGTCTCATTTTAGGTAAAGAAATTAAATTTTGAATTTTAGTCAAAACGATGGGCTTGATTTATGAGTTTTTAATGCAATTTTTTATTTATTTTAAATATAAAAAAGATAAAAAACTTTAGAAAATTTGTGAAAAAAGTTATTCAAATATTAATAATAATTCTATTTTTATTTTCAAGGAAAATGTAATGGGTTGTGAAATTTATGACTGTATATTTGAATTGACTCACTTTTCAGGGTTTCTATTATGAGGGTTTCTTGTATTCTATATTTGAATTGACCATTCTGATTTGTGTGTCTAACAACCAACTAAAATAACATAAATAAAACGCTATCAATTTATATTAGATTTTTAAATTTTAGATCTAAGTCTACATCAATTTATACTAGAAATATTTTACAAGTTTATGTAGATTGGCTCTTGATTTGTACTTTATATTATACATATGATAAATCTCCTCTCTTAGATGGTCTTGGTCTGGGTCTATTCTGTCCAGCAAACCCACCAAAATCATTTCGTTATTCTATTTCCCATACCGACACAATAGGATATTTTGTATTTGAAACTTTCTCTTTGTAGAAAAGATATTTTAAAGTAGACTGAATTTTAAGGGGCTAGTTAGGTGTGCACAAGATGCCACCTTCTCTTGGATAAATCATATGGTCAATTGGTGATAAATAAATGTTGAGAGAGTAAGTGAGTGGAGTCTCTTTCGTGATAAGATTAAGAAGAAATGTGAAGAAGTGTGGGAAATGTGCATCCATTTATTAAAATAATAGATTTAACAAGTTGGATTATGAGTACTTATCTGGTTGAGTCATTCACTCATCACGTGCCATAGCTACCACCCCCATTTTAGTGGGCGGTGGCTTTGCCCCATGCTCCTGCACCTACTCCAATGCTTTTATTTATGTTTACTTAAAAGGGAATATGATATTTCCTTAGTGTTGTTTATATGGTGGGGCATTTATATGATAAGATGAAGATTGTATTTAGTAGCATATTATCATTATATTATGTCTAAGTTTCAAATAAGATACTTTGATCTAGTTATGTTATCAGATCAATCTTAATTAGGGATGGACCCTGAAATTAATATAAACTAAGTAAGTTAAGCGAGTGGGTTAAAATTAGAAATATTAAAAATATCTCTAATAGTGTTCTTTATTTTAAAGAGAATATTTCACATAAATAAAGAGTATTTTTATTAATTTCTAAATATAAAGAACAAAATTTGTATTCAAATCTAATAGACTTAATAAATAAAAGAGAGAATTAATAATAAAACGTATAGAAACTTGTAAATAGAGAGTTAAATTTGACTTTCTAGATGTAGATAGTCAAACTTACTTTTTAATTTATATTTAAAGAATAAATAGTCTATTAAACTTTTGGTTTTATAGACGAATTCTTTATAATAAACAATTTAGATCATATAAAGATTTTTTTAGAGATATTCTAACGTAAATATAGCTTGATCAAAACAGAAAACTAAAGTAAGAATCTTTTTAGGGGGGTCACCAGCCCTCAACTTGACCCTTAACAGGACCGGATCTTAACCGATTCTGAACATGTTATAGGGTAGTACTATTCAATTAACTTTGTGTTTTAATTTTTCATTCGTATGATGTGATCTTTTGGGTGGTAGAAATGATTTAATGACATGGAAAGAACATGGTGGTAGAAATGATTTAATGACATGGAAAGTGTTCTATGTTGTGTTTTGTGTGACTGGCATTGATACTTTTGAGGAAGAACATGGTAGGAGTGGTTATTTAAACAATACTTATTGGGTGAAAATAAAAAAGACTAGTAAAGTGTTTCTATTCAGAAGCGCTAGATGCTTTTATAGTAATCGCTTTGAGATACTTTTACTAAAGATGTACTTCTATAAAGTTTCCATTTGGAACTTTTCTTTTCTGGGCATGGAAGTCTTCTCTTAACATTATAATTTATGCAGGAGGGCTGCACACAATTCGGCATATGACAAGAACATTGACGATCAGGTCCGTCCGGCTATAGTCCCAGACGATGTGATTCAGCCCCTATCTGATAAATACTGGGCACCGCATCCGCAAACTGGGGTATTTGGACCTGCAGTCGAGAACCGTCCTGGTGCAGGCGGGGAACGCGAGTACTATTCCTCGCCTGCAAATGGTTCTGGCGAGTCTGTGCTGGAAGAGAAAGCCTGGTTCCGCCCCACGAGTCTTGAGGACTTGGAGAAGCCCCTCCACCATTGAGGACTACTAACTTCTGAGCCTGGGGAGAGGAGCCCTCTGTTAAGATAAGTAATAGGTTGTTTGTGTAATAATAAGAGAATTGCAGTAGAATAATACTGGTTAATGTTCAAAATATATGTAAAACTATAATATTTGGATGAAGTTGGTAATGTATCTAGGGAATGAATCTATGTTTGTGGATTATGTTTTCAAGATATGTAAACTACTTTGTTATTTTGATTATATTTGGGTTGTTAATATTTCTAGTGTTTTTTTTTTTTTTTTAATTCTTTTTATGTTATACTGAGCCAATTTCTTTGGTGACATATTCATAATATAATATTATAAATTTTTTTTTATAATTTTGATGTGATTAAATTTCATAATAAACAGATAAAATTTATTATGAATTGATTAATTATAAATTATTATAAAATTTTGTGGAGTTGGACGGTAACGGTATAATATTGTGCTAAGTAAATATCTTTAAACAAGGATCAATAGGAAAATACTTTGAAGCATTGTGCAAACAATATTTTGAATGGATTTTTATGGATGGTTCGAAAACTTTTAAATCAGTAGCAATGATAGAGCACTGTTGGCGGTGTGGCTGTCAAAATCATAATTAAATTGACGTGATGGATATAATTAGAATTGAACGGAGGATAGGATTGCCTTGTCAGATTTGTTTGCATTTCTTCCTTTTCTAACCTTTTTGTTGGGCCACCAGCCAGCTATTATTTGTTGGGTTATTAACTTATTATTAATTTATTATTAGTGACCTTTTAAAGCTTTTCAAATATTTGGAAAATGTAACTAAAAACAAAAATTCCTTGCTTAGTTTGAAAGAAAATATTAATTTAGGTATAAACTTACTAAAAAGTTACAAAACATTGAAAAAAAAAAAAAAAAGATTTAACTATGCATAAGGGTGAAAGAGTAATTTTACAAGTTTAGAGTCTTTTGATAAATATGTAATGTTTTGTAAGATTTATAATTTAAGAAGTAAATTACATAAAAAAAATAAATAAAAAAATAGTTGGTAAAAGACTTTTAAAAAATTACCTGTTTATTTATCTTTATTTTGATTTAGGGGTATTTAAGTCTTTTTATTTTCTATTAAATTTAATGGCAAATCACCATTAGTTTAGGCTGTTCTAGATGGTATATAACTTTATCTCTTACAAATTAATTTTTGAAAACATTGATAATCTCCCAATAACCAAAAAAAAAAAAAAGTTAAAAACAAGAGGATTTTCAATAATTTTAAACATGGTGTGTAGTAATAATCTAAAATATAGGATTCGCGAGAATTTTTATCTTTATATAATGTCAATAGAGTAAACGACATATTCCCACCCAAGGTTTGACGAAATCCTAGGTTGGTACCACAGGTTCCATTTATTCCAGATTTTCACCCTTAAAGTAACGGGAAATGGTTAGATATAACGATTTAGGGGTGAATCAGTCATTTCACAGAGGAAGCGCACATTAGCATATCGTCGCCCCTAACAAAAATCCGACGCACATTAGCAACATCACCGCAGTCGTTTTTCGCTCTTTTCCGGCAATTCTTCCACCCAAAATCACCCTTGTCACCACCATTCGAACCTTCATCCTCCCCTCTACAAAACCATACCCTTGACAACCCCTCATCGCCCGTCGATCTCTAGCCACGACAGCCGTCACATGCGACTGGTTTTCGTCAGTGTCCACCGGCGAATGGCCGCTGAACGGTTGCTGGGACATAAGAGTTTTGTAGATTAGGAGACGCTAGTTGTAGTGGTGACGTCGAATTAGATATTCGTCACCAGAATCCGACGAAGAACGACGAAAACCTAAGCTTGAGGCTCCGACGATCGGAGGGCCCAATAAGTTGGGAACCTAAGCTAGGACATAGGGGTTTTGGACGACGGATGATGGGGAAGGTGATGGAGGTGACCAGGGGTTTCGTCGACATCGAAAATAGCCCAGATCCGGTGAAAACCGAGACGGTGCACAGTCACTGAAGGTGTAATTGATGTAATTTCAAAATAAGATGGTTAATTTTATAATTTTAGTAATTTAGGGGTTAAAATATCATTTATTAATTTCGGGTTAAAGGGTATTATGATAATTGCACCCTCACTATCCTAAAAAATGTTAACAGTGTTATTTTAAGGGTGAGAATCTGGAATAAATGGAACCTGTGGTACCAACTTGGGATTTCGTTAAACCTTGGGTGGGAATATGTCGTTTACTCATGTCAATATTTACTAGAAGCATACTTATGACGAAATAGTATAATAAATGATACTACCTATGTTTTTTTTTTTAATTGTCGTTTTAGGTGTGGGCATGGGTTTTAATAAAAAAAAATTTCTCTCTCCCACCAACTTTTTCCCCTGATTTTCCTTTCCTTTTCCATCATCTGTATCATCACTCTCCTCTCAACTCCCTCAAGAAACTTCAGCTTTTGTTAACACCTGTGTGGACTGGAAGGAAACCCCAGAAGCTCACGAGTTCAAGGTTGATCTTCCAGGGCTCAAGAAAGAGGAAGTGAAGGTGGAGATTGAAGACGACAGGGTGCTTCAAATAAGTGGAGAGAGGAACATAGAGAAGGAAGACAAGAACGACACATGGCACCGTGTGGAACGTAGCAGTGGCAAGTTCTCGAGGAGGTTCAGGTTGCCGAAGAATGTGAAGATGGATCAAATTAAGGCTTCCATGGAGAATGGAGTTCTCACTGTTACTGTTCCTAAACTTCCTTCCCTCAAACCCTCACACCTTACCCCTATGGTGACCTCTCTCTCGCCCAGTCCACCATTTACGCCTTCGAACCCTTGCTCCGATCCTGTCTTTAAACTTTGTTTCGAAAAAGAGAGAAAAGATAGAAGCAGAGACAGAGTAGAGAAAGAAGAAGTGGCGATGGAAAATAAAGAAGAGAGGAGAAGAGGGGAAGAGATAAGATAAGATAAAGATTAAAGAGAGACAGAGGAGATCTAGGCATGGCGAAAAGTAGAGAAATGACAAGACAAAATGGAAAGAGAGACAAAGGAGATGTAGACGTGATGAAAAGTGGAGAAAAGACAACAAGACAGGAACGACTTTTATTTTGAAAAAATTAAAAACCCTTAAAACGACAATTAAAAAAAAACGGAGGGAGGATAATAATGCTACCTTAATATACACATCATTTAAAAAGAATATATATTCTCTTATTTCTAAAAAAATATTCAAGTTATCTCCCATGATAGTCATATGATAAATTTGTTATTATATATAAGTTAATTATTATTATTATTATTATTATTATTATTATTATCTATTTAAGATTTGATCTAATCTTAAAGAAGCATAAATAAAATCTGCCTTGTTTTTTCCCCAAACTTTATCTAAAACTATATGGATGAAAATTATTTGGATTTTCTATCAAAGTTGGATAATGTCAAATGATAATATAAGGATATGGACAAAGAAGATAAAATCCCATTTCATTAATTGTGAAAAATAAATAGAGTCAAAATCAATACACACTCCACGTCCAAAACAATCTTCCCAAACTCTTGCCAAATGTAAGTGAAGACAAAAGGATATACAGTGTGTGAAATATATAAAAAAAAAAAATTATATTTTGTGAAACCTGTCAATGCTTGATCAGAAATATAGCGAAATCACCTTTTTTTTTTTTTTTTTTTTGTCTCTTGTGGACTTAAATTTATTTTGATATGAACATAAGTAACAATATTGTTTATATTAATGTTATAATATTGGGTATGATAAATTAAATTATATGAGAAAAAGGAGCATCATGGAGTATCATTTCTTTTATAATTTTATTCGATAAAATTTTATTGATGGTGATAGTAAGAACTCTTAAATATATACCAAAAGTTTGAGAGTAAATTACATTCACATTAAGGTTTTGGGTGTCACATCAAATCTCTTGCAGTGTAACATGTCATCTATCTACTACTATGAACATGATATATATCAAAAGGTTTTGGATTAAATTATATTCATACTAAGGTTTTGTGAGTCAGATCTAATCCCTTTCAATATAATATTATGTACATGATATAATTATCAAATTCGACATACTAATAACGTGATATATCTGTTATGTATTTGGTGGTCCTATCTATGAAAGGGGAGTTATCTTCTAGGGTAAGGTTTGAGTCAAGAACATAATAGAGTTGTCTTTCATAAAGTGTAGAGAGGAGACAACTATTGACAAGGATAGAACATTAAGGGTGTGTTTCGTTTATTATTTCATATCCTATTTCTAATCCCATTTTTAAAATATTTGTTTGTTTAATTATTTAAGAAATACTATTATATTTTTTAATTACTTTTAGATTTTTTAAGTTTATTAATTTCATTAAATACCTTCAGAAAAAAGTTTAAAAATTAATAAAAACACCCCCACCCACCCATGGTTACCAGATTCCGACAACCACCATCGGTGGTAGCAAGAATCTGTCACAATGGCCTACAAACGACTAGAACTGGCTAGTAATTCGCGATTTGGCCTTTTCTGGTCAGATTCTTCAGTTGCGTCGTAACGCCAGATTTCGACTAGATTCCGGCGATGGTGGTCGGAATCTAGCACTGTGGGTGGGTGGGGTTTTTTTTGTCATTTTATAAAATATTTATATATTAGGGTGTTTAGTTAAATTAGCAAACCTATAGGGTTTTTTTTTTGTTAATTTTTAAATTTTACCTTGTAATAAGCACCCTATTAAACTATCTAATATTATTTCCAAAATCCTATCCAAAATAACAAACCAAACGAACTCTAAAACGTTCTCTCTCTCTCTCTCTCTCTCTCTCTCTCTCTCTCTCTCTCTCTCTCTATATATATATATATATATATATAGGTGCAATGGGAATTTTGGTTTTTAAAATGTTTTTTGAAAGTGTTTTTAAACATGTTTTAGTGAAAATGTTTTTTTAAAAATGATTTTTAGTGAGACCCTTTTGTGAACAATTAATTAATTCTTAAATACATTTTTGAAATTCAAGTGTTTCCCTTTTTTTTTTTTTTTTAAAAAAATATTTTCAAAGGGACATCAAGAAATTACAAATCCTCAATTTATCAACAAAATGAAATTTTTTCTATACTTATCAAGCACCTAACATCATTTCACTTTTTTTTTTTTTTGTCCCTTTTTCTTCATCTGCTATTTATTTATTGATTTATTATTATAATTATTTCACCTTTTTTTTCCATTGAAATAAATTAAAGGCAGGATTTTTATAATAGTTCTGAATCCTTTGGATTCAAGAATAATAAATGACATATAATGTTGATTAAAAATTTTTCAACATTTGAAAAAAAATATTATTATATATGATAACTTTATTAAAAATTTTAAGACTTAAAAAATACATATATTAAAATCTTTTTTAACGTAAATTCAAAATTTACCAAGTTTCATAAAGTTGGATACAGTATTTCTCTTGAACTATTTCAATTTATGAACCACACAACTTCTTATGCCAATGTTCTCATACCACAATTCCAAAATTTTAGACTAATACCTTAATTATGCATGACATAATGCGATGCATATAAATGTTTCAAATTAATTATCGGAAAATTAGACCTGAAAATGGGTCATGTTTAAAAGGTTTTGTGTCGTGTTAAATTTTCTTAAACTGAAGTAATTCGTTACCTTTTTGGGTCCAAATGTAAAAACCTAAACCCAAACCCAAATATTACTTTTAAGTTTTAACGTGTTACCCAAACCTAATTTGTTAAAACCTTCACTACTTTTTTTTTTTCTAATTTAAAATTGAAATATAATATCATTAAACTCTTATAAATAATTTTATATTAGAACTAAACTATGTATATAAACACAAATTTATTGAAATACATAAAAAAAATATATAATCATATAATCCCAAAATACAAAAAAAGTATATCAAAATTCACCTATTTTAAATTTATTGATGACTAAGAATCTTGGAGACAATGAAACCTTTTTCTTTGTCGGTCAATGATGATAGAAATTAGCAAATATCTTAGAGCAATTAGGTTAAAATTTTAAAAATAGGAAATAAATAATCAAAATATCACATAATATATGTTACACTTTTTTAAATATTTTGTTACTAAACTTAATACAGTCCATTATGAAACGGAAAACTAACAGATTAACCTGATAATGATCCTAACCAATAAAACTAAACCCAAACCTGCTTTTAACGTGTGGATTCGTATCATGTCCAATTTTGTCGTCCTATGGAAAAATACATCACTTATAATATTCTCATGCGACATATTAGTAACCACATTATTTAGAATCTCAACTTTTTAACATCCCTCATAGACAATAATATGTCTTGTTTCATTGCGTATGGTTGGTTAGATCCGGTCGGTCATGCGTCGTTATGACCTTTTCCATACGATCGACCAGATCTAGTCGGTAGTTCGCCATTACGCCAGATTCCGGTTACCTTCCAGTAGTGGTTGCCGGAATTTGAAAAATGTGGATGGGTGAAGGTGTTTTTATCAATTTATAAAACTTTTTTATTGGGGTTGTTAATTAATTAACAAAACTATGAGGGTTTAAAATAATTGAATATTATAGGATATGATTTTTAGAATAGGGAAACAAACATGCATTCTTTTCAGAATAGGAATAAAGTATTTTGAAAATAGCCAAACAAACGCAACCTAACAGGTTAACCTGATAATGATTCTAACCAATAAAACTAAACCCAAACCCGCTTTTAACGTGTGGATTCGTGTTGTGTAATTATGTCGTGTCCAATTTTGTCGTCCTATGGAAAAATACACCACTTTTCATTTTCTCAAGCGACATATCAGTAACCACATTATTTAGAATCTCAACCTTTTAACATCGCTCATAGACAATAATATATATGTTCACATGGAATTCATACATTTTTTTTTTTCCAAAAATAAGAAAGATGAGCAATATTCGAGAACGACACAAGGCGTTCAAAAACAGAACCAGGAACCTCAAGTGATGTTACCAAACATTAGAAAAGCATATCAGAATCATCATCTCATTGCACTGCAGAAACCCAAGAATCAACTCAGCATAAAGAAAGACATGTTCAACAAGAATTTATTCCATTTCTCTAAGCTTAATTTTAACGGGACTTTTAATTTTAATTACAAACAAAATCTAGATTTTTTCAGTAATTTTAAACATGCGATGGAGTGTGTAGTAATAAATCTAAAATATAGGATTCGCGAGAATTTTTATCTTTATATAATGTCAATAGTTAATAGAAGCATGCTTATGACGGAATAATATGATAAATGATATAATAATGCCACCTTAATATACACATCATTTAAAAAGAATATATATTCTCTTATTTCTAAAAAATATTCAAGTTATCTCCGATGATAATCAATGAAAAATTTGTTATTATATATAAGTTAATTATTATTATTATTTTTATCTATTTAAGATTTGATCTAATCTTAAAGAAGCATAAATAAAATCTGCCTTGTTTTTTTCCCAAACTTTATCTTAAAACTATATGCATGAAAATTATTTGGATTTTCTATCAAAGTTGGATAATGTCAAATGATAATATAAAGATATGGACAAAGAAGATAAAATCCCATTTCATTAATTGTGAAAAATAAATAGAGTCAAAATCAATACACACTCTATGTCCAAAACAATCTCCCCAAACTCTTGCCAAGTGTAATTGAAGACAAAAGGATATATATAGTGTGTGAAATATATTTAATATATATATATATATTTTGTGAAACCCATCGATGCTTGATTAGAAATATAGTGAAATCACTTTTTTTTTGTTTTTTTTTGTTCTCTTGTGGACCTAAATTTATTTTGATATGAATATAAGTAACAATATCGTTTATATTAATGTTATAATAATGGGTATGATAAATTAAATTATATGAAAAAAAGGAGCATTGTGGAGTATCATTTCCTTTATAATTTTATTGGATAAAATTTTATTGATGGCGGTAGTAAGAATTCTTGAATATATACCAAAAGTTTTAGAGTAAATTACATTCACATTAAGATTTCGGGTGTCACATACAAGTCTCTTGCAATGTAACACCTCATCTATCTACTACTACAAACATGATATATATCATAAGGTTTTGGATTAAATTATATTTATATTAGAGTTTTGAGTCAGATATAATCCCTTTCAATATAATACACGTAATATGTATATTATTATGTATATGATATAGTTATTGAATTTAACATACGAATAACATGATATATCTATATGTATATAGTGGTCCTATCTATGAAATGGGAGCTATCTTCAAGGATAAGGTTTGAGTCAAGAACATAATAGAATGGTTATTATTTCTATTATGTTCTTGATATATATATATAGAGGTAGGTGCAATGGGAATTTTGGTTTTTAAAATGTTTTTTGAAAGTGTTTTTAAACATGTTTTAGTGAAAATGTTTTTTAAAAATGTTTTTTTAGTGAGACCCTTTTGTGAACAATTAATTAATTCTTAAATACATGTTTGAAATTCAAGTGTTTCCCCTTTTTTTATTTAAAAAAAATATTTTCAAAGGGACGTCTAGAAATTACAAATCCTCAAATTATCAACAAAATGAAAATGTTTCTATACTTATCAAGCATCTAACATCATTTCACTTTTTTTTTTTTTTGTCCCTTTTTCTTAATCTCCTATTCATTTATTTATTGATTTATTATTATAATTATTTCACCTTTTTTTATTTTTTTCCAATTGAAATAAATTAAAGTCAGGATTTTTATAATAGTTCTGAATCCTTTGGATTCAAGAATAATAAATGACATATAATGTTGATTAAAACTTTTTCAACATTTGAAAAAAAAATATTATTATATAATAACATTATTAAAAAATTTAAGACTTAAAAAAATATATATATTAATTTTTTTAACGTAAATTTTGATTAAAAATTTAAAAAGTTTCATAAAGTTGGATACAGAATTTCTCTTAAACTATTTCAATTTATGAACCACACAACTTCTTATGCCAATGTTCTCATACCACAATTCCAAAATTTTAGACTAATACCTTAATTATACATGACATAATGCGACGTATATAAAGGTTTCAAATTAATTATCGGAAAATTAGGCCTGACAATGGGTCATGTTTAAGCGGTTTCGTGTTGTGTTAAATTTTATTAAACTAAACTCAATCCGTTAGCTTATTGAGTCCAAATGTAAAAAACCAAACCCAAACGTTACTTTTAACGTGTTATCTAACACGATCTGTTAAAAACCTTCACTACTTTTTTTTTTTTTCTCTAATTTAAAATTGAAATATAATATCATTAATCTCTTATAAATAATTTTATATTAGAACTAAACTATATATATAAACACAAATTTATTGAAATACATAAAAAATTCTATAATCATATAATCCCAAAATACAAAAAAAGTATATCGAAATTCACCTATTCTAAATTTATTGATGACTAAGAATCTTGGAGATAATGAAACCTTTTTCTTTGTCGGTCGATGATGATGATAGAAATTAGCAAATATCTTAGAGCAATTAGGTTAAAATTTTAAAAATAGGAAATAAATAATCAAAATATCACATAATATATGTTACACTTTTTTAAATATTTTGTTACTAAACTTGAACACACTCCATTATGAAACGGAAAACTTTGTGTTTGTTTTATCATTTTGAGTAGTATTTTTAAAATATTATCGTTAAGTTGAGTTGGGTTATTATTATGAAATATGATTTGAAAATTAACAAAAAAAATATTTAAGTTTGTTAATTTAGCTAAACACTTCCAATATTAAAAAGTTTATAAATTGACAAAAAAACACCCCCACTCTCCTATAGTTGCTAGATTCTGAACATCATCATCGGAATTTGGCTGGAATCTTGTTTCATTACGCACAACTAGCCAGATCTGGCCAGTGGTGCACTGCTATGGCCTTTTTCGGCCAGATCTACGCCTGGATTAGGTTGTCAATGACGATCAAAGATATGGTTGTCTTTGATGGTCAACGATGACTATATGTGGCCAAAGATCTGGCTGAAAAGGTCAAATCGGTGTACTACCGACCAGATCCAATCGGTAGTACACCATTACGCCAGATTCCAGTCACCTTCCGACAGTGGTTACCGAAATTTGACAAATGTGGATAGATGGGGGTGTTTTTGTTAATTTATACAATTTTTTGTTGGAAGTGTTTAGTTAAATTAACAAACTTATGAGGTTTAAATAGTTGAATATTATAAGATATGATTTTGAAAATAGGGAAACAAACATGCATTTTTTTCATAATAAGAATAGAGTATTTTGTAAATAGCCAAATAAACGCAACCTAACAGGTTAACCCGATAATGATCCTAACCAATAAAACTAAACCCAAACCCGCTTTAACGTGTGGATTCGTGTCATCTAATCGTGTCGTGTCCAATTTTGTCGTCCTATGGAAAAATACATCACTTATCATATTCTCATGCGACATATCAGTAACCACAGAATTTCAACCTTTTAACATCGCTCATAGACAATAATATATCTGTTCACATGGAATTCATACATTTTTTTTTTTTTTTTCCCAAAAATAAGAAAGATAAGCAATATTCGAGAACGATACAAGGCGTTCAAGAAGTTCAAAAACAGAACCAGGAACCTCAAGTGATCTTACTAAACATTAGAAAAGGATATCAGAATCATCATCTCATTGCACTGCAGAAACCCAAGAATCAACTCAGCATAAAGAAAGAGATGTTCAACAAGAATTTATTCCATTTCTCTAAAGCTTAAATGAGGACCAGACATGGAAAGCAAAGTAGTCTTCAATAGGTTATTCGCATGGTTTCCATAACAAAGAGAGCCTAATAATGCGCTTCTGAAGTTAAAAAAGAACATCCTATTTTACGATCTTCTCAGCTTTCTTTTCTTCCACTTTATTCCTAATTCCTTTCTGGCAAAACACAACCATTTTTTATATGATATCCGATATAAATCTATAAAGCAAAAGCAGTCGATAAAATATGAGATAGAAAGTAGGGATCGCCAAGCAATCATAGTCATATTCGTTTTTGTGATGAAGGGTCATAAATAATATAACTTGACAAAAAATCATGACTTTAGACCACTGTATTCTCTTTAAAAGCATAATAGCACTGATGTACTTCAGCCTTTTATTGTCGAAGAAGCATCGAGATAAGAGGCAATAATGATCTTGAGGAATGACTGAACCAACCTATTAACAGTTTGTAAAGTTCCTCTATTGATTTAGTAGAAAGAAATACATATAACTCTTAATTTGATGAAAAGACGTGGGATTTTCTGCAATGAGAATGTTACTGCTCTAGTCAAGTGTATAATATAGCCCATGTTACAGAAAATAAAATAATGATAATTAAAGAAGGGTTAAACATACCTAAACCCATTTCAGTCCAGATGCTTTCAAGGAACGTCTCTCAAAAACTTCTTCATTTACCATAGAAAACTTCATGTCATAGGTGAACTTAATTGAAAGCTTCCGGCATGTATTTTCTGTAATTACATCTACTGCCTCATAAACTGACAGATATCTGCACAAAAGATTATCCCACACCTTTTGTAGCGTCCTTAAGATCCATTGTCCAATGCCATGAAGATTTCAACCAGGAACTCTGCTCTTCTCCTAAGAGTGGCCACATGGTAAAACCAACTTTCAGTTTATCAAATCAGTGGCACTGTCTATAAGAATAACCAGCATCCGATTTTAAGTTGTTTCATCAAGTCACTCTATAAGAATACCCAGCATCCGATTTTTAGCAGACATTGACAAAGCATAAAAAGTTGATTTACAATGCAGTATGAAGCCAGAAATGGTACAACTACAAGGGAAGTACCAAAATTACTGCATTATTACTCAGTCATGCTCAATATTTCAAATCTCAAATCAAACATTCTTCAACTTCCTCGAAAATTCAAGTTCAGATCTTAGAAGCACTTATACTTTATAATTGTCTTATCTTCTGAAATGCTTCCTCTCAGTGCTTTTGCCAGTTGGAATCTATGACGTAAGTAACTAGAAATATAAAGTCTTATCCGCCATTGTAGAACGGTTGAGAATACTCTACAATCTATTTCTGCATATCAGCAACAAATGACCAAGAAAACATGTGGCTGTCTCTTTGCAAATTCATACATATCTCTTACTCTTTTAGAACCATCATTCATCCAGCCAAGCCAAAATTTTATTCAGAGACGATATTCATCAAAACTTTTGTTATAATACACATACTTTACTTGCTAAGTTATAAGCCTCAACTCCTGGATTGATTTTCCAAGGACCATAACTTCAGCAATCCTACATCAGACTCTATGATTAGAACTTCAAAATATCATGGACATCTAAAATATTTAACAGTCAATATCTGTATTTGACCAGGAAAAGGACCATCCTTGAGGAAAAATCCTCTTAAATTACCTGCTCCATGATGCAACCCAACCTAGCATTTTCATTCCAAATCAAATCTCATCAAATTCCAAACCCAAATGTGGGCACCCTTGTTTGGTCTTATAAGTTATAGCCCAGTCAGAATAATGTAGGCCCAATTTTCAGATGTGAAACATAGCATCCATCAGGTGAAGCCATTGTGGTCTGGGAAACAAACAAAACATCAGCTAGAAAAGCATATCTAAGGCATCCAATTATAAGCTTAACCAAGAAGAGGATAGAGCTCATCCAGCTTCAGCATACCAATCTGGAATCCTGAAAGGATTTACCATATAGAGAATTATCAATATCAGGTACCATATAGGTTACTCTTATATCAAATATTAGCGAATTAGAAATAAATGAACCTAAAATACACTTGATCTAAAACTTACAATGCCTCTGTTGAAGGGCCATTAAAGCTGTTTGCAAAATCTGTCTAGCCTTTCTGTCTGGGGTGCATCCAGCAGATTCCATTTCTTTGTATATTTCAGGTACCTGGCCATCAAAAACAAGATATCTCCCATCAAAATTATTTTAATCAATTTATCAGACGTTAGTCAACAAATGAAGATCCTAACATTGCAACAGCTTATTTCCAATATTTCTGTCATGTGAGAAGGACGAATTTGAAGCAAATGAGGGGCAGTAAACACCTTATCAAACTTCCTTGCCCGTATAAATGCCTTCATAAGCGTACTATATGTCACCAGATCAGGACTAATACCCTTCAATTACACCAAGTACATCATAATCAGAAACAGTATTAAGGAGCATAAATCAAAATGAATTGCATGAAGATTCAAGAGCAAATAGTATTAATCAAACTTAATTGCTATATAGTATCTGTACCAGAATATCAAGGGCATCACCACTTACATGATAAAAGAATAAGAAGGCTTACACTTTCTTTTATATGTTGATAGATAGATAGTGCTTCCATATGTCTCCCAGCAATCCCAAATGCATTAATCAACACATTTAGCATTATCAGATTTGGTTCAATTCCTTCTGGTTCCATAAGCTGAAGCACCTTAACCGTCTGTTCACAAAACCCCTGTATTGAATAAACATGGTCTCAATAATGCATTCAATAAGTGTACTTGAAAGTACATCCTCTAGTGAACTTGAAAGTGAAGCAAAAACTACTTGTGTCTTATTATCAAATCAAATTTAAAGAGTTTTTAGGTTATTTTATCAGGAACAGATAAATCTGCTAAGGGAAGTTGAAAGTGAAGCAGATATTATGTACATTATATTATCAAATCAATTTTAACACGAAGTTTTGTTAATTGTATTAGCAACAGGCTATTAGTTGTCAACAAAGTCTGAGAATGCCTCTTTTTGTTTATCCTCTATGATAATGCTCTCAAAGTTTTTTAGCCTACTTTTCTATGGATTTTCTGCAGAACTCTTATCCAGGCTGCTTTTCAATCTCTAGGTCAGTATTCCCCAGACAAATAAAATATGAAATTCACAAGTTACTCTTTCAGAAATTGCCATTAGCAATACTTATTTTGATCATTCAAGAGAGTATACATAAAAAGACATTTTCTTGCAAAATCTGTTAAGCTGCCATTGGCTAAAGTATAGGGTAGTCAATTCATAAACATAGTCTAATACTAACAATGCTATATATACACTTCAAAGTGCACCATGATATGAAGCATAATTTGTGTGGCATAGGCTAAGTAGTCAGTCCCATGATATATAAGGTTATCTTCAATCATATTACATATGAAAATAATGTCATCCATATTTAAACAAAAATAAATGGAGCTAAATATAAAATAAAGAAATGTAAACTCTATAAACTAATAAAAAAAATGAGGACTTTAAACAATTAAGAGAGAACGAGACCATACCTGCTGAGCATAAGCATTTGCTAAGATGCAAAACATGGTGGCTGATGGTTGAAGACCTTCTGACTTCAGAGCAGAAATGCACTCTTCTGGATCATGAAATCTCCCATACTGACCATAAATGTCAACTAAAATTGCATAAATTGCTCCAACTTTTTTGTGCCCCTTGTATTTCATATTCTCAAAATTCCTCTTTATCACATCCCACTTCCCCTGCTCTCCCAAAACGCTAATGATGGTCATGAAAATTTTTGGATCAGGATAAAACCCTTGCTCTTGCATCTCCGTAAACAACTCAAGAGCCTTACTAATATCCCCAGCCTTACAATGCCACCGTATCAAAGAATTCCATGTCATTATATCAGGCCTTATACCTTCTTGTTGCATTTTCTCAAACACTTCTAATGCTTCAACTAACTCACCATATTTCGCAAATGTATCGATAATGCTATTATAAATCTGCCTATCTAGTGACAACCCCATCTCCCTAATCTCCTCCACAATACCTATAGCTTTTTTCCACATCCCATTGTCCCTATAAAGACCAATAACCTTACTATACACAAACGAATTCAGGCGAAACCCCTTTCTTTTCATCTCATTGATTATTGACCATGTGTCTTCCAACCGCCCAGCATTGACATAATAATCCAACAAAATCTCAAATGTCTCTCGATTCCTCCACACAACCAATTCATCCATCACCACCAAAACCCTAACCGCAAGTCCTAAAAGGCCTTTCCTCAAAAACCCTCTTAGCAAAACATTAAACAACCAAACTTTTGGCTTCAGCCCAAAACAAATCATCTCTTGGAAAATTGCATCGGCTTCTAAAGTCCTACCAACACTACCAAGGCCTTCAATCAATGCAGCATACGAAGCAGAGTTTGGACGAAAACCTAAAGCCTCCATTTCAGCAAGAGCAGCCATAGCCTTATCCATTTCCCCTACTTTACAGCATTTCTGAATCAACTCATTATATGACTCGCCCGAAATTTCCTCATTTGGGCACTTTGTACTAAAACTTTTGTTCTTGTATACGCTAACACTAACCTCTTTAACACAATTTTTCATTGAAGAATTATAAGAAAAATTTAACAACCTGAATGTTACATTATATTTGGGACAAAACAAGAAGAGCGGAGATGTGCCATGAAGCGATAAAAACGACATTGTTGTGAGATTAAACATGGGTTTTCATCATCAGAATGATAAACTATAAGAATTAAAGATTTAAGCTACAGTTAAACACAACTTGGAAGCATAAAGTTTTGTTTTGAACTATCTTTTGCTTGTTTGAGTCGTTCAATTTAAGTATGAAACTGGTAAGAGTGATTAACCTGTTGTAAGACAGGGAGACTGGAGCGGAAAAAATGCGAGGAGGTTTCGAATTTTCTTTGCTTCTCCTCCCATTTTCTGGGGAACAAACTGTGGTGTGTGGCAATTGTCGAGAGCTGTAGTATGTATGAAAGATGAGGACTCGTAGAAATTATCCAAATTGAAATTGTATGCATTTTGTAAGAATGGAAACTATCATAAGCTCCCAAATTTTGACAAAATATTATAGACCCCAAAGGTTTGGGAATTCATCCAACCTTCCCTGACTTTTAAAAAGCCTTAACTTACCTCCCATTCTTTTCGTGAAGATACCACAACATATTATTGACAAAGGAAATTCCAATAACGAACTCCTATTTTTGATTAAAAAAAAAGAGATTAATTACATGTTTCCCCCTCATCGTAGAAACCTTTTAGTGATAAGTTTAGTAGTGTTGACGACACCGACACACCTTACTTATCGTCCTCGAATAACATCGTTTAATGTATTTAAATAGCTTTAACAAGTGTGATTGAAACAAACTATGAAGATATCTTACATCTTAACTACTTGTTTGGGCAAGATTAGTAATGAAATGGTTAACATTACCTTGTGTCAATCCCCGTAAGGTTACTTTGGGGTAACGAATAAATATCCAAATCCCTGCTTAAACTCATGGGTGATTACCATTAACTTGTGTAATTCCCGGTAAGGGTACTTGGGGGTAAAGAATCAATATCCAAATCCCTACTTCAACTCATGGATTGCCACTTGTGTAAGGACATCTGTTGCCCTCAATTCAGAAATTGCATACTGTGAAGTCAAATTTTATCATATAAAATCCACATAAGAGAGCGCCCCGCCAAAGAAAAAACAAAACAAAAAGAATTATCTATCTTCATCTTCACCTTCACCTTCACCGAAAACATAATATTGAAAGCCATGGCGTCATGCAGCGGAGTTCTAGCATTTTCACCATATCCTTCTCCTTCTAAGGTATGCAGAAACCCTTCTTTTTTGACCCATCATACTTGTTCTTGTTCTTGTACTTCATCTTCTATAGCAACTACTATTAATACTGATGAACAAGAAGCAAATGAAACTAATGATAACAATAAAGCACAAAAATTTAGCTATAGCAGAGCTTCACCTTCAGTCAGATGGCCTCACCTTAAGCTTAGTGAACTATACCCTCCACCTCAAACCCACTTCACCCATGTCACCCCCCAGGTGGGTTTTTCTCCTGAGGCTGAAAGGGAGTCCCAAGGTGGAGATTTTGGGGAAGTGGTGGAGGGGAGTGATGAAAAGATTGAAACATTAGGGAGAGTTAGTAAGACTAAGGTTAAGAAAATGAGTAAATTGGCTTTGAAGAGAGCCAAAGATTGGAGGGAGAGGGTCAAGTTTTTGACTGATAGGATTTTGGGGTTGAGAGATGACCAGTTTGTGGCTGATGTGTTGGATGAGCGGCTCGTGCAGATGACACCTACTGATTATTGTTTTGTGGTGAAATGGGTTGGGGAGAAGAGTTGGCAGCGTGCATTGGAGGTTTATGAATGGCTTAATTTGCGGCATTGGTATTCGCCTAATTCCCGGATGCTTGCGACTATATTGGCGATTTTAGGGAAGGCTAATCAGGAGAGTTTAGCTGTGGAGATATTTCTGCGGGCTGTGCCCGCGGTTGAGAATACTGTTCAAGTGTATAATGCTATGATGGGTGTGTATGCGCGAAATGGCAGGTTTAATAAGGTGCAAGAACTGCTTGATTTGATGCGCAAGAGAGGATGTGAGCCAGACCTTGTGAGTTTGAATACTTTGATAAATGCACGTTTGAAGTCAGGTTCTATGGTGCCTAATTTGGGAATTGATCTTTTGAATGAGGTGAGGAAGTCAGGGATTAGACCAGATATAATCACGTATAATACTCTTATTAGTGCTTGTTCACGTGAATCAAATTTGGAGGAGGCTATGAAGGTTTATGATGATTTGGAGGCAAGTAACTGTCAACCTGATTTATGGACTTATAATGCGATGATTTCGGTTTATGGGAGATGTGGACTGTCTGGTAAAGCAGAGGAGCTCTTTAAGGAATTGGAATCCAAAGGGTTTTTCCCTGATGCTGTGACATATAATTCTTTGTTGTATGCTTTTGCAAGAGAAGGAAACGTGAAGAAGGTGAAGAGGATATCTGAAGAAATGGTGAAAATGGGGTTTGGTAAAGATGAGATGACATATAATACAATTATCCACATGTATGGGAAGCAGGGCCAGAATGAAATAGCATTGAAGCTTTACAGGGACATGAAATTGTCCGGCCGAATTCCTGATGTTGTCACTTACACCGTATTGATTGATTCACTTGGCAAAGCAAATAAGATTTCAGAGGCAGCTAATGTGATGTCAGAGATGTTGGACTCAGGAGTTAAACCCACTTTACGGACTTATAGTGCTTTGATTTGTGGGTATGCTAAGGCAGGGAAGCGGGTGGAGGCTGAAGAGACATATGGTTGCATGATTAGATCTGGGATCAGACCTGATCTTCTAGCATATTCAGTCATGTTGGATATCTTTCTGAGGTTTAAAGAAACGAAGAAGGCCATGGTGTTGTATCGGGATATGATTCGTGATGGTTTCACTCCAGATCATGATCTTTATGAAATCATGCTTCGAGTTCTTGGGAGAGAAAGCAAAGTGGAAGATATTGAAAAGGTGGTTGGGGATATGAAAGAACTATGTGGTATGAACCCACAAACTGTTTCATCCATTCTTGTCAAGGGTGAATGCTATGACCATGCTGCTGAGATGCTGAGATTTGCGATCTGTAACGGGAGTGAACTTGACCATGAAAATTTGTTATCTATATTAGGTTCATACAGTTTGTCTGGCAGGCACTCAGAAGCTTGTGAATTACTTGAATTCTTGAGAGAACATGCTTTACAATCCACTCTCTTTGTAACTGAGGCTCTGATCAGCATACTTTGCAAGTCTCAGCAATTGGATGCTGCTTTGGAGGAGTACTGTAACACTTGGGGATCTGGTTTGTTCAGTAAGAGTAAAACAATGTATGAGTCCTTGATTCATTGCTGCACTGAAAATGAACACTTTGCTGAAGCTTCTCAGGTTTTTTCTGACATGAGATTCTACAGTGTTGAACCATCTGAATGTCTCTACCAAAATATGATGCTCGTTTATTGTAAGATGGGCTTCCCAGAGACAGCACAGTCTATTGTTGATCATGCAGAAAAGAAAGGCATTCTTTTTGATGATTTTTCCATTTATGTTGATATAATTGAGGCATATGGGAGCTCGAAGCTATGGCAAAAAGCAGAAAGCTTGGTGGGGAGTCTTAGACAAAGATACGAAACTATTGATAGAAAGGTCTGGAATGCTTTAATAAAAGCTTATGCTGCAAGTGGCTGCTATGAGCGAGCTCGGGCTGTTTTTAACACAATGATGAGAGATGGTCCTTCTCCAACTGTAGAATCAGTTAATGGTCTCTTGCAAGCGTTGATTGTTGACGGGAGATTGAATGAGCTTTATGTGGTGATCCAGGAGTTGCAAGATATGGATTTTAAGATAAGCAAAAGTTCCATTCTTTTGATGCTGGATGCATTTGCACGAGCAGGAAACATATTTGAGGTGAAGAAAATATACCATGGAATGAAGGCTGCAGGTTATTTTCCTACTATGCATCTGTACAGGGTCATGATTGGGTTGTTGTGCAAGGGGAAACGGGTGAGAGATGTTGAAGCCATGGTATTTGAGATGAAAGAAGCAGGATTTAAACCTGATCTTTCAATATGGAATTCTCTGCTCAAGTTGTACACAGGAATTGAGGATTTTAAAAATACGATTCATGTTTACCAGCAGATTCAAGAAGCTGGACTACAACCAGATGAGGACACTTTCAATACCTTAATTATAATGTACTGCAGGGATTGTAGACCAGAAGAGGGATTATCACTGATGCATGAAATGAGAAAGCAAGGTTTAGAGCCTAAATTGGACACCTACAAAAGCTTGATTTCGGCATTTGGTAAACAACAGCTGCTGGAACAAGCTGAGGAACTTTTCAACGAGTTGAGATCTAAAGGGCGTAAACTAGATCGCTCCTTTTATCACACGATGATGAAAATATATAGAAATTCTGGAAATCATTCCAAATCTGAACAGCTATTAAGCATGATGAAAGAGGCTGGAGTGGAACCTACAACTGCGACAATGCACTTGCTTATGGTCTCTTATGGAAGTTCTGGACAGCCCCAAGAAGCTGAAAAGGTTTTGGTTAACTTGAAAGAAGCTAGTTTGAATCTCAGCACTCTACCATATAGTTCAGTTATTGATGCTTATTTTAGAAATGGAGATTATAATGTTGGAATCCAAAAGCTTATCGAGATGAAGAAAGAGGGTATTGAGCCAGACCACAGGATATGGACATGCTTCATCAGGGCTGCAAGTTTGTCTCAACTCTCAAGTGAAGCCATTATCCTCCTAAATGCACTCCAAGATGTTGGGTTTGACCTTCCATTGAGGTACTTCTTAGTTATTGTCAGAGTGAGGTCATTGTCTCCAAGATAGAAGCTATTTGGTTTTTTTCTCCTCTTCTCATTATGTCCTGTTAATGAATTTTTCTTTTGCGATTTTGGTTTGTAGGCTTCTGACAGAAAAATCTGAGTCACTAGTTGCAGAGGTAGACCATTGTCTAGAAACACTACAACCTGTTGAAGACAATGCAGCCTTTAACTTTGTCAATGCTTTGGTGGACCTATTGTGGGCATTTGAACTCCGAGCCACTGCTTCATGGGTTTTCCAATTGGCAATCAAGAAGAGCATTTATCACCATGATGTCATCAGGTTGGTTTCAGTGGGTTCAGTTTTTAATTTATTTGTATTGTTTGTCTATTGAGCTTAAAAATTGGGCTACAGATAAATAAAAAAGGTTAAAGCGTGGTTTGTGCCTAGAAATGTTAAGAGCGGTTTTGGAGTAATTAATAGTGTGAAGAAGGTGGAAAAAGTTAAAGCTTGGTTTGTTCCTAGAAAAATGTTAAGTAGTTTGGAAAGTACCACAAGTGTGAAAGCGCTGAAAGGATATTTAATGGAAGTCGTCTACCCTTTGATGTTCAAAAGATTGTAATCTTGGGAATGTGTTTCTATAGTTTTTTCTCTAAGGGCTGTTTCTGCTTTTGTTCATGAGGATGCCTGGTCCACTTTTTGTATTTCTTTTTCCTCAGTATTACAAATATTTTCATTTACCTATCAAAAAAAGAAAAGGAAGGAAACGGAATATTTAAAGATTGTGTGTACAAACTTACTGCAGCCTCAAGGTTGTCATATTCCCTACTTGAAGCAAAGCTTAGAAACACAATACAAAAAGGAATGGGTTATTTATTCTTTATTGATTTCTTAACATTAAGTTATGAAAATGAGAGAGCGCGAGAGAGAGAGGGGTCTAAGGGCCATTCCATAAATTTATTGACCTTGCACATAGAGCAGACCAAATGCTACTCTTGGATTATGCAGAAGTCTAAATATAACTTCTTATAGTTTTTAGCTTTTAGGTTCATTAGTTTACTGATGCCTTGAAGTCTTATTGTTGCTTATGCCTGGAATTTTTTGTTGCAGGGTAGCTGACAAGGATTGGGGGGCTGATTTTAGAAAGTTGTCAGGCGGTTCAGCTCTTGTTGGTCTTACTTTATGGCTTGATCATATGCAGGCATGCTCTCTTTCTTAACTTTCTTCGTGACTAGTACTATACGGATGTCACACCAAAATTTGAAATTTCAATAAAATTGTGGTTTTTCTTCCAGTGGTTAAGTGTTGCTGCTACTTATTATTGTTGTTATTACTATCAACATGCTGTTGTCCCACTACTTAAGACATCTCCAACAAGATCAAAGCCAGTGCCCCATTCATAGGACTTATGAAATTGGAGTAGTTCTTGAACTTTAAGAATATTTCTTTAGCTGATATAATAGTTTCAAAATAGAGACTTCTAATTCTCCCGTTTATTGAAAATCTAGGGCTACTGAGTGGCAACAAAGTTCACACCTTTGTCTGCCATAAATCTTGCATAGTATTGGAACTTCTGCATTATGGCTAAAACTCTGATCTCTTCTTTTATATGATTTTTCACTTCATTGATGACAAATATAAACATATAGATGTATAGAAAGAATTTTCTTGTACTGTTTAGTAATTAGAGACAGCATGAGGACTGGTTGGGACTTGGGACTGCTCATCTCCAGATGTTGCTACGAAATAATTATAATCCATTAATCTTTTAGATTAGTTGTAGGTGTCTGCTGTATGAATTCTTAGTGTCATTATCCTTTTACCAAGGCTTTCTATTTATAATATCTGTGTCTTAACACATGTTTTAACCTTCTTTTGCAGGATGCATCTTTGCAGGGCTATCCAGAATCTCCAAAATCAGTTGTTCTGATAACAGGAACGGCGGAATATAACATGGTTTCACTTAACAGTACATTAAAGGCTTGCCTTTGGGAAATGGGATCCCCTTTTCTTCCTTGTAAAACCAGGAGTGGTCTCCTTGTAGCTAAAGCCCACTCCCTGAGAATGTGGTTAAAGGACTCCCCATTTTGCTTAGACCTTGAGTTGAAAGATGCTCCATCTCTCCCCGAATCAAACTCAATGCAGCTGATCGAAGGATGTTTCATAAGACGTGGCCTTGTACCTGCTTTCAAGGACATAACTGAGAGACTTGGGATAGTGAGACCAAAGAAATTTGCAAGGTTAGCTTTGTTACCAGATGAAAAGAGGGACAGGGCTATTCGAGCTGATATTGAAGGGCGTCAAGAAAAGTTGGAAAAGATGAAGAACAATGTTCAGGTCAGAAGGACAAAGAAAATGAAGAATCTTAGAATGAGAAAATTTGTTCGAAGAGGCTTTACATCAAAGCGAGGAGATGCTAGATGAAATATGCGTAAACTAATTGGCCAATGAAGAATGGCTTGACCTTTATCTTCTGCCTTCTGCCTCCTGCCTCCTGCAGCGCTGAGGATTTGCTTATCAGTGCAGCAAGACCCTATACATGTGTTCTCCACAATGTAGTGGTTGCCGGCATTTCTTTCTCTTCATCGGATATGATTTCGAGATAGCTGCATGACAGTGAGTCAGTGACTCATTTATTGCCACTCATCCAAGATTACTGAAAAGTATTGTAAGTTGATTTTCATTTCTTCACGTTTCCTGATTTTATTTAACAATTTACATTTTCAGTTGTATTTTTGAACATCACTATTTGTTCTGTGGCATATTATTTTACTTTCAGTTGTAATAAATAGTGTTCCATTTTTTTAAAGCAGAAATGATCACTGCCGAAATGAAGAACAAGCATTTTTCTTTTCTTTCATGAGGTCTGAACAGAATATCACATGGGTTCTATGACCATATCTTCTGTCATATTATTATTGAAGAAAATAGCGCAAGAAGAATGTCGTGCATGCCATGGTTATACATCTCATGCAGTGAACATCAACAACCAGAGGGGCTTCTCAAAGCACCACAACATTTTGCCATGGAGTTCATATTGTCAGGGCTCTAGCTTTGATTCTTTCTCAGCTGCAACGGTATCCCCAGAAGAGATAGTTTTCTTCATCTAACAGTGTTAAAAGTTGTCAGTATCTCCAGCAAAGTAGCTGTAAACACCGGAAAGATAAGCTTGTAAACTCAAGCTTAGTTGTACATTAAGGAATGTATTATGTTACAGAAGCTACAATGTTAGAGGGAATGAATTTTAACCCCAGAAATGTAACTAGACTGATAGTGATTATGAGATTGGAGCCTTGCTTCTGCATACAAATAAGAGCTTGTTACCTTGATTTTCAGGATTAAGTTTGATTTTTAAGCTCAAGCATTTTCTTATTGAGCTCCCTCTCTTATTTAAGTGAGAATATAATTGTAATAAAATATTTTATTTCTTGTTATCAAAATGAACTATTTTTAGCAAAATAAATATACTCTATGTTATTATATATGATTAATAATTTTTTTAATTAATTTACAGTTGTGCCTTATATAATGTCAATTAAAAACAGGAAAACAATTATCCAAAATTGTTTTCAAAAATTGTTTTGAAATATATGCAAATAAAAGTACATCTTTCTTCTAAATGAACATATTTTTGGAATGGAATGTGTAATGAAAAGCATCCAACCTTAGTCAAATATAATCAGAATCAATGTGTTTAAATTTGATTTATTAGAAATTAGAATGGGTCAATTAATTATCTAACCTTTGAGACTGCAGAAAAAGAATAAGATTCATACTTGAAGAATTAATGAATACAAAAGGCTACGGAACTCATAAGACTATTTAATGTTTTTAAATGTAATAATATATACCAAAAAATTCATTATTTTAGACATTCTTATCTTTGTGTGATACTGTTTTATATTTTAATATATTTAATTTATGTTATTTACTTATGTATTTTATCAATATGAATTCATAAAACATATATATAATTTGCTCACATAATGTATTATTTTTCTATTTTTATTAAATTAAATCATACTTATACTCACAATTCCAACGGAAAAAAACAAAAAAATTGTCAATTGAAGTTATCTAGTTAGCTTGTGTATGTAAATATGTATAGTTTATTGGATATATGCCCGTTACATGAGAAAATATTGTCATCTTGTCTTAACTATCTTTAGGTGGTTGAGTAGTTCGATAAAAACTTTTAGATATATTATTTAAGAGGTATTGAGTTCGAATCCCTCTTTGATTGCTAATAAGGGTAACCACTGGAACTCTTATCCGGCTGATAGTTTCAGGTTCTCGGGAGATTAGTTGAGATGCACGTAAACTGACATAAATACTTCGGTTATTAAAAAAAAAAATATTGTCATCTTAATTAAAATAAATATATAGACAAAATTGATGATTATGGTTGCATACCTATAATAATATTATCTCACAATAATTATATCATAAAATAATCATACCATTATAAAATACTATATTGATAATAACGGTTGCATATATACTAGATTCAACTATGGCTACCAAAGGGAAAAACCGATAGATAATGTGTAAGTGGTGTAATAAGTCTTTTCTGGGCTATCAAATCAGTTATGATATCATCGAAGTAGTCTCGAAAAACTAGCAGAAATTATAAGATATGGCAATAGCCAACTACCATTGTTTGACGGTGGTCGGAAGTCTTCAAAATGGTGTATGATTAGTTGGATATGGTTAGTAGTGTGTAATTTCGATAGATTCTTGTCATTTTTCGATGGTAGTGGTTGACTGTAGAGAATATGTGGATAGAAAGGAGATATTTTTGTTAATTTATAAACTTATATTATTGAGAGTGTTTAGTTAAATTGTCAAAATCTTGGAGGTTAAAAAAAATCTAAATATTTAAGTTGAATAGAATATCATTAGATTTTAATAATATTAAAATAAATATGTATTTTAAATAGGATTATATAGGATAATATTTTGAACAGATAAACAGACACAGCGGTTCTCTTCATCCTGTTCATGTGGGTGGGGAGGGGATATTTCGCCTCGTGCCGATAATAAGTTGTGTGCAAGTGCAGCTGTGTTTACTCAAATTGTACATGTAAGGGCACGTGAATAGATTTTCAAGGGTCTCATAGGCCGACATGAAATTTTTATTATTCTTGAGATATTAAAGGTGAAAGAAAAACAAAAAAAAATAACAAATATGGAACAGTATAAGAAAACATTAAATCTACATATAATTGAATCTGGTAAAATTACCAGACTAGTTCTAACTGTTACTTGAAATTTGCTTAGTTAAATAATTAGAAGAAGCCTAGCATGGTTTCCAAAACAATGAGGTTGCTAACCGATTTATTGCCAAATCTGTAAATCAACCTCAAGTACAAAAGGTGAAGAGGACAGATAAATATGGTGCTAGGCATTTATTTTGAAAAGAAAATAATAAAACTAATTTCACTAATCATGAATATTCATAAAGAAAAAAGAGTTGATGATGTGTTCTATAATATGATCCATAAATATTTGAACGAAATTAAGCAGTGCTATCAGTTCCCTCAACCCTGCATGCAGGCGGGTCCATTACACCAGAACCTTGGGTTTGATGTTACTACACTCAGATTCGCTGGTCCTTTTCCAATGTATTTAAGTTGAATATCAGCAACCTCCACACCTTCACATGGTGTACCACTAATACAATCAAGTTTATAGCAATAGGAGTAGCAGAAGTGCCCCGAATTTTCTTGAAGCTAATGTTACTAAGCTTAACACGTGATGGAACCGAACAAAAGGAAAGATACATCAAGGAATGACGTGATTAGTAATATCATGATCATTCCAATAAAAAAGTTTGGCATGTAACATGTAACCGTATTGAGCTAGTACCTTTGTATTGCATTGATTCCATGGACAGTATACTTGATCTAGAGGATAGGATTGCTGACATTAATCATGTTAATGTCTTCAAAATGAATCATAGATGCAGAGTTAACAGTAGAAGTGGCCAAGTTTTTATCTAACACCGTTTCAGTATTAATTAAAGTGCAATTCTTGACAGTGACTCCAAACACTGGTTCTTCTTTCTCAAACTTTCCTAAGCTTCCTATACTGATACCATGACCAGGTCCGCATTTAACATTAGTGATTGATATATTTTGCTACCATCACCAATCGAGACGCAATCATCACCTGTTTTGATGAATGATCTATTATGTTGATTCCACTAGATCTCCCAATATGGATTCCGTCAGTGTTGTGGCTATCAGCAGGGGCAATAGTAAAAGCGTGAAAAGTTAAGTTGTTGCAACCTAGGACATTAATATGAAATTGTTTGCTGTTCAAGGATCTTATATTCTGGACAAAACCATGGGTGATGAAGTCGAACCTTATATTCTGTTACATAATGAAAACAAATGTTGTTAGTGTCGTCATATATATCATACTAGCTTTTTAACTACTTAATTAGTTATGCATGCTAGATATGATTGAGTTATAAACTTACAATGGGAAGTTGTTTGCAAAAGTTTTCGCCACAAGTACCCCAAGCAGAGGCTCCTTGGCCATCGAAAGTTCCACCACCTGACAATGTGAAGTGTTGGATACGTTGGAAAGTAATCCAACTTCCATCCTTCGTCACTTTGCTATCAGTTAAGGCCTTAAGGGTGCCTTGAACTGCAACCTCAATAGCAGCCTTGCAGGGACCTTCAAAAGTCACAGGACTTAACAAGAATATCCCCTTTGGAATAAACACTTTGCTTGGAATAGTTGACGCACATGCTTTGTTCCACGATCTGGTTAAAGCCTAAGACAATTGCAAACACCATTTAAATAAGATGATTAATTATTATCCATACATATTTTGGATTGCATCAGACATGTAATTACCTGGTTGATATCAGCTCCAATCTTTGCACCTTCTTTTGTCACATCAAAAATTGACTGACCTCTACTTGTTGACACAAGCAATATCAAGACAAACTTTGCCACTATGAATTTCACCATGTTTTCCATCATAATTTTTTTATTCTTGTCTTTTGTTCTACTACACTCTTGTTGATGAACAGGAAAATGTTAATTATATAATGAAATGTTATTTCTCTCTGAGCCATTTTATAGTTCAATGAAGAAGTTCATGCCATTAATCTCTAACAAAATATTTAGCTAATTTTTGTATTTGTAGTATGTTGTAACGTAATCTTTATATTGTTTTCTACTTTTAGTTTAACTTTGTTTCATTTTTTTGAGTCAGGACCAAAGAATAGGGCATGAAAGTTGATGAACTAATGTGACCTATGAGAGGATCAATGAGTTGATGATTGATGGTCCGTTTGTTAATAACAATATTGTCTAGTTGGAACAAACACTTTTTCATTCAAATTCATGATTATTATAAGTTTAGTTAGCTACTGTTTTTCCATTTTTCAACAAGGAATAGGTCAATTAATGAACGAATAATTAAATTCTTAACAAGAAATAATAAGAGAAGATTGAAGAGATAAACAAGAGAGAAAAGTTGTAGATATAAAGGATCAACGTGTTAGAATATCTTGAAAAGATCAATGTGTTGGAATCTCTACATAGAAATATTAATTATTCTCTTGGAAAAAGAAATTAACATGATTTACTTAGCATCAAGGAATTTGAGATCAATTAAGGCTGAAGAAATGTGTTACATACATTGGATCACAAAAATACTCCAGCGTTAATGGACAACCGCGGCAGAGCCGAACTGAGTGTCCATTAAGACGAGAGACTTCTGTGAAGAAGGAGGGCTTCCGGCCAGAGAAATCTTTAGCAGAACTAATGTATTGAGAAGTTTAGGGATAGAGAGAGGATTACACACATCTCCATTTTGGTGCTTGTATAGCCCTCCTGGATACTCGGTTCTCTACCTATATCAGTGCCTGTATTGGCAGCATGGAAACCACACTTAATGCTGGCACTGTTATGGTCACTTTCTATCCAAATTTCAATATGCTTCTCAAGGACAACGCCCTTCCAGATGCTCTTAAAGTTCAGATCCAGATTGCCGGTCAAATTCCACAGACCAGTGAATTTATGGCTACTCTCCATTATCAATTGGTCTAAAGAGTGCAGAATCATGCTTTTGATCTAGCCCCTCCACGAAACCCAGATTTGGTGGACAAAGCATTGTTTCTTAAGGTGGACAGTCAATGTGCTCCTAGTTGCACTTATGTTCCCCGTCAGATTCCACGTCCTGAATTGCTGACTCTCATGCCAGAAAAATGGCTCACAGCCTATGAGACTTTGCATCCTACCGCTGAAAAGAACCAGCCAGTACAAACAACCACTTGCACATTCCAAACTCTCCCAGATGGAACGGTGGAAACTCGATATGAAAGGGAAACTCCTCCGCAGGATACTCCATCCTGTTTCCCTTCATCTTTCTCC